GTCTCTGGACGCCATTGTCGCGTTACAGGCATGTCAATCCAAGAAAACGTGAGAGGCATATAAATATTTAGTGTGGTTACTAAAGAGCACAAAATTTCCGTCGGGTTTGACTTTGAAAAGATTATAAATCTTTACGGCTTTCAATCTTACTAAAGAGGACAAAATTTCCGTCGGATTTAACTTTGAAATGATTATAAATCTTTACGGCTATCAATTATACGTTAAGTGCAATGGCGATCAGGAGCTGAAAAAGCAATTGAGTATGGAATTCATGGTGATATATGTGAATGTAGATATAGAGAAACCAAACAATTACTGTCATTATTGTACTTTAATGGTTATACATTAACAGTATGCATGGGTTGTGTTTGTCCTTGTTTCACAATCTATGTACAGGGACAGTATATCTAGTGTCTACTGATAGGGTAGTAGAACTGATCTGTGTACAATGTTGAATGTCAGTCAGATACTCTGCATGAAAGACAATTAGAATGGTATCAAAACTGAAGCGTGATATTTCCCATATAGAATAAATTTACCAGTTCAGATGTTTTCATGAAACTAAAAACAAACATTAAATAATAAATGTGAACACGTGATAACATAGCACCTTTATAAATGGACGTCAAATAGGAGAGACTTATCAAATTTGCATGTCCTCAACGCATTGGTGCCTTCTGTACCTTTGATCATTCTCCGGCAATTATGTTAGTGTTCTTTAGTCAACGAAGCAGATAGGTTCTATTCTAAAGATACGGTCAAGGTGCTTTTACCCTCTTTATAATGTTAAGATTCAATACGTGACGATAAGGAATAGAAAGTCAGTTTTATGTAAACTGAAACCAAAGATCTTTATTTCAGAACCAAGAGAAGAATATGGTCATTACAATGGAAACGTGTCCGCTTCTGAGGACAATTACTTCAGAAATTAATATAAAACACGCACAGAGAAAGTCATCATGTAAAAATATACGAATATTCAATAATGTAATGTATATCATGAGATGAAATTAAGATACACTTCCACCTGTTTCCTTCTACAATCTAATGATAATACATGTCATATCAAATGGTGGCATATAAAATTGAAACAAACAATATTACATGATTTCTATACCAGATCTATAAATAAACCTGAAACACAAACAACATCACATTGATTGTATTTATCGATGTTTACGCATGTCGATTAAGCTTTCACATAATGGTCTTGTCATATTTTATACCGGTTATAGATGCGAGACGTCAGCTTGCAACCCTATATTTCATGGCTTAAAAAAGGAAAACAGAAGTAAGAAATCTAGATAAAATGTCATTTATGTTTGTGAAAAGTAAAGAAAAACATTTATTTGATAATTTCCTTATGAAACTATTATGTTCGCGTTGTCAGACACCCAAGTGGCGCCACCTACAGTTTCCGGTATGATATGACCCTTCAACTAAGCTCACTGCTGTTCTAACGACACTTCTAAGGAAATTTATATTTTGAAAGATTTCATGAAAATCTGTGGTTATACAATGATTAACTTGCACCAAGAAATAAAAAGCAATGTAACAACACTCCGGCACAGACACCGACAATAAAAACCGCCCTCAGTTGGATGATACAACTATACCAATGTAGTACATTTTAAAATTGTGGACACGACTGCTTTCGAAACAAGAAATCAATATGACGAGATCAACGGCTATACTGATTAATCCGCGCATTCATTCCCATCGGCTGTATCAGCTTCCATCTTACTGAAGGTCAATTATAAGACGGCCATGATATCTCGTTAAAATGGTCAATATAGTTTTTATCCCTTAGCAGTATCCAGTGAAAAGGCTCCCTGTCTCGTCATAATGCATTAGTTTCTGGTTCTTCAGTTGGCGGTGATATATCATTATACTGTTTAATCACTATCAACATCGGACATTCAAAGACACCTCATCATGGCTGAGGAGGATGTCTCGAATTAAAGTTTAAAATACATCATTAATTAATGGACACCTCGGTTTGAAATTACTCCCAACAAAGACAAATAGGTAAAAATTTATGTAGTCCGATTTGTCAAGCACGTTTTACTATTTGGTGAAAAACTTGCAGAATACAGCTATAGATTATTCAGACTGTCAGAGTTGGGAAGTCCTTCAGACTACCTGCAGTATAAAGTTGTAATCAGACAAAATCACGCCGTGACAATTTGACAGCTGACTTCACACGTTCGTCCATACGACGAATAGTGAACTGTCGTTATTTGTACTCTTTCTTTGATAAAGGAAACAGTGGTCTCCGAAACCTAGTTTTCAATCGATGTATCTATTAAAGATAAAAACATTTTATATGTACACTTTTACCAAACTTATGAATCTCCTTGACAAGTCCTTCAATATCACTTTAAGATATATTGTTGACGTCTTGTATCTGAATAATAAGGGATTTATGGACCATATCCATCAAAGAACACGACAGATTCTTCTACATCAATCTCTTATATCGATTGTTTTCCTACAACATAACAAACTGATAGCTTTCTATCGGGCTCTACGATTTCATTTCCCCTATTGTGAATTTCCATATCTGGATAGCAGTATTCGTCCATCCCCAATTTATGGTGTTCGCATATCACATGCTTGTTCCTAATATCACGTTTTTTAGCAAGATGTCGGCATCTGACAGACAAATTCATAACACAAGTCTTAGAAAGATGCAGGTTGATGGCAATAATGGGAATGTTCAGGGTGGTCGTACGGTTCTAAATGGGAAATATTTGGCTTCATTGTGCATAATGAAGTATTGGCATGTCTGGTGCCCGTTATTGTGCTTAATGGTTCCGTTGATTTTTACCAGTTCTGATTTGGGAACGTGATTTTACTAACTTGAATTGGGCAAGATTTACATGGCAGGTGTTGTCAAAGAAGCAGAAGACGCCTACTCATCCGGAGCACCCGGTCTTTTTTCCTTTTTCTTTTTCAGAAACCTCCTTATCAGTGTTGCTTTTGTTTCTATTTTGCCAAAGTTTCGCCGAATTCGAGTTCCTACTAAGATTCTGTTGATATGTCAGTATTTTTATTGTTGTTTCTATTGAATATTTTACCGCTATTTTACATAATATTCAAGTCATTGAAGCTGTACTGTTAGGAACAAGATCTTGATACCTTGAACTAAGAATAACATTGGAAGGCATGTTTGGGAATTTTCTCTAGAATATTTTTTATTCTTTCTGCTTGCTTTATGAATAGTCACAGCTTGTTTGTTTAATTGATATCTAGTTAATTCCATTCAGTAACCCGAGTACTCCCTCGTCCTACCTTTATCATCTGGAATGTTTTAATATTTGTTTCAACAATGTTTTATTTGACAGTCATAAAAGTTATTGTAAACCCAGATCAATTAGTTCTGTTTGAACAAATACATTATAGATAAATACATGGCAACACCGACGATCAAATACATTGATGTTAAATGGGACAAAGTCACCACGTCTTAATGTGCAGGTTGAAAATCGATATTTATATTGCTTTTAGACTCTAACATTTCCGTCCGAGATGACATGGCCCGAAAGGCCAAACCCAGTTTGTTTGTACAGTAAATGTTGGTGAGTTAGAAACTTGACAACGTTTCTATAGAAATGTCGATTTTTAACGCTACCTTTTCAAATTTGGCACACCAATGGAACAAATGCTTTTATTTGTATTAATGGTTTGATCGATGGCAATAATTGATTGGATTTTCACGCTGTATACAATGTATAGGTTACGTCATAAAAAGTGAGTTTCTTCCTTATGAACTTAAAGGGTAACAACATCAAAGTGTTGCTGTAGAAGGAAGACAATTACTTTCAAAAATAGCAAACGTATGGACAGTTTTATTTTTATATACGTTATGTAGCGTACGGTTAAACACGGAAAAGGCAATGAAAAATAACGCTTCTAATGACAAGCTATGGGAGAGAGCTTTCACTGCCATCTCTCCAGTTTCAATATGATAATGCCGTTTAAGTGTAAATGAACAATACTGTGATTCGTGTAGCTTATGTTTGGGTTTTATCAACACTGTGTTCCCAACACCGCTCAGGAAAGGGAATAATTGTACTGTTTGTTACCTTTGAAAAAATTTTTTACTAGGTACTGTATTCTTTTCAGATACATCGTACTCAAAACACCTCTTAAAGAATGGTAACTCGTTGTCTTATTTTCTGATTTATTATACTCAACGTTCTAGTAGTTGTTTAACATTTTCCTATTTTTATCAGATACCTACATCTTAACTTAAAACTGACACCCGTTTTTATTACGATTCAGTAGTTTTGATATATTTCTTACATTCTCGATACTTCTGCTTAATTAAGTTATATTTATTTTCATTACATTTAATAATTGTTTTCATTAAACATTGTGTTTCTCTGCTTCTGACGTAACGTTCACTCCTGATTAACTTTTCAGTATCCACATTATCTAAACAGGGAATACTACTTGTAGTTATTAAATCTTAAATCTGATTTAATAAGTAACACTATTTTTTATCGATATTTTCATAATCTTTGTTAAGAAGTGAAGAGATACTTAATTTGTCGGTAAGGTAACTATATTAGGACAGAAAATTTCACCGATCGCTGTGAAGATGCTAATACCTAAAATACTGCTATATAAAATGTTCATTTGAAATACTGTAATAGCATGTTTTTAACGTAAGACAATATGCTTACATGTCTTCCAAATGCCAAACGTTTACTTTGAGACGATTCAGAAAACAACCCACAGCACCAAATATTTTTCTTTCTGAAAATGAACTGACAGGCATTAGCATGTTGAAAGCGACGTAAAAATGTTACATTCTGGTGAGATTCTGAGGCCATGTGGTGATATTAGTTCTAAGTAATTGGCATCTGGCATTTGTAAAGAACCTGTTGCATGCATGTTTTCCAATATGATTTATTTATATCTTTAGCTATTTCGTATCATTATTTACCATGGAAATAGTTTGAATTCAAAGTTTTTGTCTTATTTACCTTCAGAAACGTCTATCGGATTGGGCATCACCAGAGGTTGGAATAAAAGGGGAAGTTTGGAGGTTTGTAATGCAGCAATGTAACTTATACAACAGTTGTCGTCTGAATAATCATCACGTTGACTCTATCCCGTATTAATTTTGTCTTCGTTTTTGTGTAAGGTCAGAACCAAAACATACACAAATGATGCCAGATGTTGTTTAGGATTATACAATGACACACATATGATACATCATGCAGCTGTTTCATTCTTCTAGGACTCGTCAGTGATTTTAAGGGCTCAAATCATTAAGCTTAGGATGCTCAAAAGAAAAATCAAAATCTAGATGGGGACATGAACTAACCCAAAATTCAATGAATTTCTCCATTTCCATATATCTGATAATTAAGAAAAATGAAGAGAACATATGCATATTCTGAAACGTGTCACTATTTGCATAAATAAAAACGTGGCATGCACGTGGCAAACGTCGTGGACGAAAAGTCCATCAGCAGTGTCTACCAAGATCTGTCTCAAACCCCTACACAAATTCCTTCCTGCAAATAAGGAATATTATGACATGAAAAAAGAAGGCGGTATTCTTTAAGCTTTTCTATTTCTTTTGGAATTATTATGTCAATACATTACTTAAGATTAGTCTACGTTTCAATCGCTTTAGGATGATGGAGGAGGAAACCGACAATCCAGTTTTGAAAGATTTCAAGTCAATCCATCCATTCCCATGCGGATAAACCGACAGGGAGCGTTACTATTTGGTCGCTTTCGGAATTACACAAGTAAGTAAGCGTACTCGTACACAAATGTATAACGCAAAATAGTGTATGAGGTCTTCAACAACTCTACAACAATAACAGAACCATAACCATCAACACACTATAAACAGGAATATTCACCACAACCACTATTACACCGTCATCACCAACAACAACAATTACTATAACAATAACACAAACATCAACAACTCTACCACAACAATAACAGTACCATCACCGTCACCATCAACACACTATCAACAGAAATATCACTGTCAACATAAACAACCATAACCTACAACAAAAACAACTACCACTACTCCCTCAGCACCAACGGCTACTACACCAATGGCAACAACACCACCGTCAACTCTGCCATAAACAACAATAGCCACAACACCATCAGCATCACCACCTACAACAACAACCACAACACCATATTGTAAATCCTCACTTACAAGGTGATACAGGTACATGTTTTAGGTTAAGTGACCGTGATCATTGTTTTGAGTCAAATTGGCGTATGGAAGTCTGTACTATGTCCGTTTGTTATTTGTACTTGATATAATATCATTGTGTAGACAGACATTGGTCGTATTTTATATCACAATATTCATACCAAACAAGAACAAGACACACTGAATTCGACAAATGTTTTTGCCAGTATCAACGAAATGTTATTTTATACATACACATTACATCTGATGCATGATCAAACAGTTTCGCGGGAAATAGTCAATATTACATCTTGAGGTTTTGAAGCTCTTATCGATATCTTCCAACGAATGTTCATTCATTTGTCTGCCATTTCTGAGAAATCACTTCATTCTGTAAGTTCAGTTCGAATGTACAGCGTATTATCACTTCCCAATACAAATATACTATTAATTTAATACAATACGTAAATCGCAGATACAGCTATTTATTTCCAGACGATTAATTTACCAACAACAAATTGGAATAAATGAAATAAAAAGCCGTTCTGCCTCCCGGCATTAATTTGCTGTATATTCCCAATTAATCTTTGATAAAGTCAAGCTCCTCGAGTTTAAGTTGCACATTATTTCAATATTTCATTCATAATGTTTACAATTGGTTGGTGTTTGTTTGTCGAGCATGACCATGGAGATTAAGAAACAGACTTTAAAGAAAGTACATCATCTGTCCCTAGACGGGGGAGTCGCTGTCAATATGACACTCGAATCCATTCTATGAAAGTAAAGCTGTGTCAAACTGAGCATGGTGTAGCTCCATTTGTCTGGTGATAATGCGGCGCTGACACGTAATCATTAACTCACCAGACAAGTTTATGTTTATTGAAAATGACTTATAACAGTTGTCTGAAATTTGATATCAAACTGTCATGATATGGAACCTATACTATATTGATCAACATTGATACGTGTCTGGCTGTAAATTGTATTGATTAAATATAAACTATTCGGGCGCGGCAGATCTCTATAACAATATTTTATACCACATCAATATTGGTTAATATTGTTATTGGAAACCTAAATGGTTTGTGGTTCAAGCTGATTCGGAAGCTCTAAGCATGGTTTCAATGAATCATAAAGCATTTTTACGAATACCATGGCAACATAGCGACTTTGCCTGAATAAAGACAACCCTCATCGATTTGTGTATCATTGCAGAAGCTGCAACGAATACACGTTTTCCTGTGATTGATTAGCGCGTATGCATTACCTATGTTTAGAAACATTGTATAATGTTAGCCCACTCACAACAGGTTTTTTTCGTGGGGAGGGGGTATCCATCTCCTGGGAGCACAAGTACAACCATGTTCATTTCTCATTGCTTCAATTTGCAAGAAGCACTTACTAACACAAAAAGTAAAAAATTTCCTTCATGATACAAAAATAAGTTTATGAATCAGTTGCTAGTGTTGATTATTTCTGCCACAGTTTCATAACGTAACGGTCTGGAAATACATTTTATTTCAGTAGGATATCATATATGTTCGTTGACGACAGATCATGTTTTCTCCCTCTTGTGAACTTCCGACTCCCTCCCGTACTGGAAACGCCTTAACAAATATACTTTCAACACACGTTTGATATCCCTGTCAAATAAACGACTCCCTTCCGTTCCGTTACCTGTGAGCAAGTGAACTTTCAACAAACGTTTGCTACCCCTGTCGAATATTCGACTCACTCCCGTTCCGTTACCTGTGAGCAAGTGAACTTTCAACACATGTTTGATATTCCTGTCGAATATTCGACTCACTCCCATTCCGTTACCTGAGAGCAAGTGAACTTTCAACACATGTTTGATATCCTTGTCGAATATTCGACTCCATCCCGTGCGCCTAAACCGTTACCACATGTACTTTCAACACACGTTTGCTATCCCTGTCGAATATTCTACTCACTCCCGTTCCGTTACCTGTGAGCAAGTGAACTTTCAACACATGTTTGATTTTCCTGTCGAATATTCGACTCCCTCCCGTGCACTTCAACCGTTAGCAAGTGTACTTTCTCAAACAGTTTAAAAATAAGCGATGTCATAAACAAAATCTTATACTCGTTTTCATTAAATATGGTGAAATAAGAAACTTGTCGTTTTTCATTTAAGGCTCGTCAAAATGAATTAGTTGAAGACTCGATTCATAAACCTGAAACACGAATATGAATGGGAAAAAAGTAAAATCCTCTAAACCTAGAGTGCTTTTTAAGTTCGACTGTTATCGATAACTTCTTTCGTAACAACAAAAGAAAAATTTCTCGCTGTCTGCATGCAATGACCTAAATATCGAAGAAATCTCCGTGCGGAGGCCACAGTAAATGCCTCATGTGTTCGTGAGATACTTATCTAAGATTAAATCTATTGTGTGGTAATATCATTAAAAATATTGTACGTTTAAAGTTGTAGTATCATCGTTCGTGCGTGATCCTTTTTACTTCTTTCGGCTCAGTAGGCGAGAAAGCCAGTTGTTTATACATACGGATCAACATCCAACATCGTTATTTGTCGCTGAGTATATGAAATTCGGTGTCATACAATTATATGAATTGATCAAATTCCTCATTGTGATTAGTTGAATGATACTAACTTCCTTTTTAATGACAAATCAGGATCGACGTCTATCTTGCTAATACAGTGGGTTTTAAACATTGATGTAACTTCCGGTGTTTAGTTCAAGTGAATCATTACTTAATCTCTAAATTCAATTCTTTTTATTCAAAACATCATCATCACCATCAGTCATTATATCAACGTTGGGCTGATTCTCATTTTGACAATATTGGACTCAGTTACATGGTGTTAGAAAACATGGCAGAGAATTCATGCTGAAATTCAGCACTTTTAATAGTTGAATGATTCAGATTCAAGATATCAGCTGTTGAATTCTTACATTAATTGTTGTATAATGGGAATATTCAAACATATTTAATGATCAATTGGTTCACTTTGCTTGTGAATAATCATTGTGGTATGATATTATTATCTCATATTTACATGCTGTATCATGACCTCCTATTATGATTATCTCAGTACCAATATGGATTGTATTAATAGATATTAAGGTAGTTAAGATAGTTCTGAATTGCAAAATTATAATATGTCGACATTTTGGTGCCACAAATTTCGAGCGTATTTTTTAAAATTTCATCTGAAAAGTAAATATACTTATTGAACTGTTACGTGATTGTATTTATTGTCAATGTAAATGTAATCCATGTGGAAAATAAAAAAGGACATCATTATATTTATCTGACACCCAGATGATATTCATATGAATGTAAAACAATACGCGAGTTTCCCTTTGAGAATATGTTATCGGTTCAACTTCGATACTTAAATAACTGATTGTATGACAATAGTATTATTTAGTAGCGTTCGAGAACATAAACGGTGGATGTCTGACTACAGTTGCTGTATATCGGTGGTAAAACATATTGATGTGTGACATGTTCTGTATAACTCGAGAGAAAATATGTGATGGTGTGAGGCGATATATCCGTAGTCAAATGGAAACAGAGCCTCCTTCATCGGTGGAATGCGATCGAAAACGTATACTTGTATCAAGTTAATAATATATTGTATGATTAGGTTTAGAGGGCGGAACTATCAAGGGGATACGTCGTTTCCTCACCCAACTATCCAATACGTTACAAAATTACATTGGATTTTTATGAGCAATGGTTAATATGTAATGTAATCAAGATAATTGTTTGTATGATATTTCATATAAAACTGTGGCCATGTGCAATTCCGAAATCGATTTGATGGACTGGATTATTCATCGACATGCTTAGCAACGAGTTTTTGTTCAGTTGATTGAATATCCGAAGGGACGTTCACATCCAAGCCTTAGTAGTGTGTTTTGTTGTAATATACGACATTTCTAGCTTGGGACACAATAATTCCGTTCTGCATACTAATGACACGACTCGTGGAAAATGAATAATGCTTGCCTGCTATTCTGTTGGGGATTCCTAGAAACTGTTAAGGATCATATCCCTTGTGATCCGTTTATCATAGATGGAGTCCTTGATTAGGATTTCACATAGCGCTTCAGATGAAGACATAGTACAGACAATCCGTGAGGAAGGAATACAATTCGAGTGGTATTCAGAACCTTTCAGGTGACATTGGGTTAATTGATCTTTGCTCGTTAATCAAATGACAGATACTTTCAAACTTCAACGCCTTTACAAATGCATCATAAAAGACATTGATTTGATTCGCATTTTGTAATTATATTTCACTATGAATGATGTTGTGTTCTCAAAGGTATGATATATAAAAGTTCCATTAAAGCGTACGTTGAAACGGAAGTGCAGGCAGCTGTTCCACTCAACATATATCATCAAAACATATAACAGCATTTTTAAACCCCATTAAACCATATATATATTGCGTTATATTGGATTTCTGTAAGATAACGTCATTGTTACATGCATGGTATTTGAATGAATAGTGTAGGGACGACTAGTTTACACACGCACGCTCAAACACACACGCACACACACACACACACACACACACACACACATTTGCTAACAGTTTAGAGTGACAGGAGTCGAATATTAGACAGGGATATAAAACATGTGTTGAAAGTACACTTGATATACTCAAATACATATGTAGTGTTATTTTGAAAATGAAAAAGGAAAATCTAATATATTTCATGTTATTAAGGTTATCTAGTTCTCAAGCTACTAGTCAAGAACCAACAAGACCTTATTTTCATGACAAGTTGGGTAATTTCGTTTTCTGATAGAAACTTCTCTTTCCATGATAGTTACATTCCAGCTTTATCTGCATACTGCTGTGATTTCATGCTCATTAATGCATCATTTATTTCTTGTTACTTCCCCATGGTGAACATGATGATTGTTAGATTTGATGGCATAGTAACACCAATACGTCATGGGGATCTATGTATACTTTTTTTCACCAATTCTAGATAGAGGAGATTTGCATACTTAAATTACGGCCGTATAATAAACATCTCACGCTATTAATTATATGACAAACAATGCATTAATGGAAAGTCGTTTGCGAAAACACTTAGTCAAAATAGTTCATGATACGTGTTCAAGTGATGACCTTCCGTTAGCTCACAGTCACGTTAGTATCAAAGAAACAGTCTCTCACTTATTTTCCTTCTTGGATTTACCTTGATTTACATGTTATCGTTATTCAACGTCTATTTGTATAGTGTAGTCACTGTGGTCCAATTTTAAAGCTAAGTAAACATGAAATTGATATTATTGACACTGGTATAATTAAAATAATAAAGATTGCACGTGTTAATATTTGAGATAAATTATCTATACCTTTTAATACATAAAGGATTTAAAACAAGGAATGCTTTCGTGTTCAGGAATGAAAGACAAAGTTGTCAATGTTGTCACACTTTAAACGACACCAGGGCCGGTAACTTGAAATTTTAACAGACAAAACCATTGACACGAACATTCAGTTTTGATTCAGTTAAATACTGGAGCTTTTGTTAATGTTGAAAGACTTCTGAAAATATTTATATAATCACAGTCTCCAATTGATCCTTAGGAACTCATGTACATGAAATGCGTGTTCTTACTTTCAATACGCGATATTGTAAACTTATGCCATTAGAGAACTGGGTCCTGAAAGTAAACACTTTGACGTTCTTTGTTAGTCTTGATTTTTGACAGAAGACATAATTATATATTTGATCTATTTGTATAGACACCTACATTTATTAAAAATAATGTAAACGTTGATTTACACGGGAGATTTTGTCACACAATAAAACCAATGTTTAATGCTAATGTACTGTGTATACCGTTCTTCACAACTTCGCCAACGGTCTTAGAGTTGAGACCGTTATAGCGTATAGCCATCGGTTTGTTTCCACACTTGGTACACATAAGATAGACAACTTTTTATTACGTATTTTATAAGCAATAGTTCTTTACAAATTATTTTCTTATGTTGTATGTATATAATGTCCTTTCATTGCTATATCGTCAGCGAAGTCTGAGATCGGTTCATTGTGCGCTGCATTCCTTTTGAGGTACAATTTTTCTCGGATGTTGTTGGAGGGATTAAAGGTCAGGGTACAAAAGGATGAGGTGTGATTACGTTGTGACAACCATCTAAGTCACAAGTAACTGTTATGGAAGTAGAACTAGGCTCAACACCGAGCTCAACAGAGAGCTTTAACATACCTCAATTAATAAAAATTTTGAAGCTGAAATGTGTGTATATGATGATCAGACATAGATAGCTAAACGGATCTTTTAACATAGCTGAATAAATTAGTACATTCAATTGTAAACATTTCGTGAAATTCAGAAATTGAAATGTGCGTTGGGATGCTCAAACATAGATATCATGATGAATACATTCAGCTTTAGTTTTGTTAATTTCTACAAACTGTTTAACGGAACTAAAACGCAGATGATCTGATAACAAACAAAGCACAGATACAAGGTGCCAAGAGATGCAGGCTGATAAAGAGTTTGGGGACACGCTGGTCATTGTTATCTTATGGACAAATATTCCATTTATTTGTGTGATATGAAGCTGGACGTGATTGATGCTCGTTAGTTTGCCTGTCGGTCCGTGAATGTGTCATTACTTGCTTGGACTGACAAAGATTTACATGGCAAGTGCCGTTGATTAAGTAAAAGACGCTTACTCTTCCGGAAACACCCGACCTTATTCTTTTTTCCTTGTACTTTTCCAAGACTCTCCGTTTTATTCTCTTTTGGCTCATATTCGCCTTAGTTTTAATTTAAATTAGGGTTGTGAATATTTTCTTTTTTTTAACACCAAAAACTGAATTTTTTCTGAAACAGTCTAATAGATGGAAATAAACCCTTCTCTCGTGAGAACACATAGGATGTTTTCAATCCGAATACCTTGAAAATGAAATGAAAGTAACATTCAATCCTAAAATTTGGTTTTAATTTGAGGACTTCCAAAAATTGGAATGGTGCGGACTAATCGGTCAAAGTTCTTGGATGAAAACCTCATAGGATTAAAACCGTATCTCGTCAACAATTCTAGATTTAGAACTTGCAACACGTCGAGGTGGTTCTCTGCCACATCTCTAGGATTTATTAAATATTCGTCCTGTGTTATGTTTAAGGATATAGTCTGATTTACGGTGAACCCAACATTTTGTCAACTGGTATACTTTGTTAAAATTAACAAGAAACTATCAACATTTAAACAGGGTCTTATCACAAAGAAAAAATACATTGAAGAATGTACAAGGGAAACTAAAAAATTAGACCAGACAGAGAAAAGAAAATGGCCATTTTAGATATCATTACTAGTTCGAATAAAATCATTATGATGGTTTTATCGAACAATATAGAGGATTTCCATGAAGAATTTGATATATGTGTGGGTTTTTTTCTACATACCTTGAAAGTATGTTTTCCTTTGTAGACTAATTGAAATGATGTACTGAATTTTGTGATCTCCATGAATTCTATGATTATGATGTCAGATAAAATGTAACTATTGATCCTGTTTGTTTACATTGAAGGTTACTTGACAATCGGTATACCCTCCGTGGAGAGAGAAGGTGTTGACTATCTGGAGGACACTATTATCTCCCTTGTAAAGAACACACAGGTGAAGGAGCGTAAGGAGGTCATTATCCTTGTTTTCCTGGCGGATCAGGACCATGACACGATCACAAGAAGGGCTAAGAAGCTTTACGACACTTATAAAGAACATGTTGATTCAGGGTTTATGCAGATAGTGCACCCGGACCATCAGTACTATCCGGACTTTAGTAAACTCGACAGAAACTTCAATGATTCTGAAACACGTGTTGCCTGGAGAAGCAAACAGAATATTGACTACGCGTACATGTTCCTGTACAGTAAAAATTTGTCACAGTACTATATGCAGCTAGAAGATGACGTACTGACAGCAAAATCGTATTTAACTCAAGTAAAACGGTTCATTAAGACTAGACCACCGAAGATAAAATGGTTCTGCATTCAGTTCTCTCACTTGGGATTCATTGGTAAATTGTTTCAAGCAGGGGACTTACAGTCCATTGGGGAATTTCTTCTCATGTTCTATTCTGAGCAGCCCGGTGATTTGTTGATAAATTATATGAAAAAAATTAAAACACAGTTTAAGGACATTTTAATGAAGCCGTCTTTGTTTCAACATCGTGGCGTCATCTCATCGTTGAAGGACAAGAAACAATTTTTAGTGGATAAAAGCTTTCGAGACAGGACAGGTACAGACAGGAAAAAATTCTATCAGAAGAATCCGCCAGCAGATATCTTCACCTCTATAGAAGTATATGATAACCTCAAACCTGAGTATGCTTACGATCTGAGTAACAAGTTTTTCTGGGGACTGAGTCCAAATTTAGGTGACTATTACAGGATATCCTTTCATAAACCTGTAAATATCAGTCGTATTTATGTCGATTCTGGGTATCCAAAAAATCCTAAAGATATTTTATTAAACGCAGCTTTAAAAATATCTAAAGTGAGTAATTCCAGTCATACTGCTCATGAAGCTTGTGAGAACAGGGAGATGTTCGGGACTTTTAATCGCACGGGAGACTTTGATTCTAAAGCGCAAAATATGAGCATGCCTCTATATAACGTGGGATGTATATCCATCGAGCTGACCAAAGCTCAGAAGGAATGGTTGATCATCAGAGAAATTGCAATTTTCACAGTGACGTAATGTTTGATCATCAGAGAAATTGCAATTTTCACATTGACGTAATGGTTGATCATCAGAGAAATTGCAATTTTCGCAGTGACGTAATGGTTGATCATCAGAGAAATTGCAATTTTCGCAGTGACGTAATGTTTGATCATCAGAGAAATTGCAATTTTCACAGTGACGTAATGTTTGATCATCAGAGAAATTGCAATTTTCACTGTGACGTAATGGTTATCATTAGAGAAATTGCAGTTTTCACTGTGACGTAATGTTTGATCATCAGAGAAATTGCAATTTTCACTGTGACGTAATGGTTGATCATCAGAGAAATTGCAATTTTCACTGTGACGTAATGGTTGATCATCAGAGAAATTGCAATTTTCACTGTGACGTAATGGTTGATCATCAGAGAAATTGCAATTTTCACTGTGACGTAATGGTTGATCATTAGAGAAATTGCAGTTTTCACTGTGACGTAATGTTTGATCATCAGAGAAATTGCAATTTTCACTGTGACGTAATGGTTGATCATCAGAGAAATTGCAATTTTCACTGTGACGTAATGGTTGATCATCAGAGAAATTGCAATTTTCACTTTGACGTAATGGTTGATCATCAAAGAAATCGCAATATTCACTGTGACGTAATGATTGATCATCAAAGAAATCGCAATTTTCACTTTGACGTAATGTTTGATCATCAAAGAAGTTGCAATTTTCACTATGACGTAATGTTTGATCATCAAAGAAGTTGCAATTTTCACAGTGACGTATTGCTGTTAATGCGTATGGACATATTTTATTTTGTTTGTTTATTTTTCTTGATATTTAATGAATAGGAAGAAACAAAAGTAAGAAATGAAGTGCCCGGTCCAGTTAGCCTTGATGACTAATACGTGTACAACCAACATCAAATGAAATATTATGTATCAAACTTGTACCATCTGGTATACGTTTTATCTACTGCTAACTTATTTATTGATTTTGTTTGTGAATATGGTGCAAAGAAATGCTATGTGCAATCTAAAAACTGCAAGGTCATTCTTGGATGTGTCAGTTAAAGCAGTATTTCATATCTGAAATTTGTCGAGAACTTTTCAGGGTAATATTGTCAGATATTACTAGATATGTGATATAAAAGGTATTGTATAGCACTGCCTCCTCCTTCGTCCAAGGATTGTCCAGAGTTCACCTTACGCAATATCCTCCTATGTGTTGAGTATGTAATTTTCAATGTACCTGTAATGATCGTCATTATGAACTCGCGCCGATAACTTGTGTCCAACTGGAGACTCGTCATTGGTGACAATGGTGGTGCCATAGGTTTTAATAGGACATAACGAGTGGTTACAGATACAGTATCAGAAAAAAAAGGAACATTGAAAATAGGTCTTCGGATCATTCATGTTATAAATGTGTTGTTTAAGCGTGTCTGTTTGTCTTCTGATAATGATTAATGCCGAGATGTCATCATATCAACTCAAACTTCTAATTTTCATAGTTACAAATTGAATCTCAGATTGATAAAAAAAACCTTATGAATATTTATGATATTATTAATGATTGTGAATTAATAAATGATGAGTAAAATAGTTGTAGGAAACATAGCCTGTAGACTTTCATAAGAGGTAAAATTACGCGATTGTGCCATCCTTAGAATTGAGGTAGACATATCAAATACTGACCGGAAAGACACCTTGTTTTAAAGTTTTATGTCATTTGAGAATGCTTGCATAATTCAGGGCTAAATAGAGTACATATACCCCAATGTTGGATGAGGAATATATTAAGTAATTCGAACTAGGTCATTGGTACTGTGATATTCGTGGGAAATTACAATCATTTTATTTTTTATGTATATATATGTTGTTCATTTTAATTTGTTAATAACATTTTTATTCTAACGACATTAAAGTATAATCTGTGCATTTATGAAATAAATTGCTTAAATTTCGTAGAATGTTAATGTTAGATTTGATTTAATTGTTTTCAATGTGTACAAGAATACAGACATAATCAGGCGCAATCTCTACTAGAGTTGTCATTCCTTAACATACACATAATGTGGTTTAGCGAGTTTGTATAAAAGTGCTTACAAATGCTTGGGAATATATCAACGACGGTATGGGTACCTGAAGAGTATGTATATGATAAACTGTATGATGTGTGTATGAATGTTATCATGCCTGATACATTTGGTGTGTAATCGGCATTATCTCAACCTTCCTCGTAGAATCTGAAAATTTCCTCAGGATATCTGGAATATTTCTTGGTAACGTCAGAACTTTTTCCTTGAAAAATCCTACAATTCATTGGGATATTATGATTTTTCTGAAGGATATTCATTGAAATATCTAAATATTCCCACGAGAAATTTTTCTTTTCATTGTTATCTAAAATTTCATCGAACTATCCTACATTTCATGGAGATAATTAGACTTTTTCAATGGTTTCGTTGAGATATCCGCAATTTTACTTCAGATATTCTGAAGTTTATTGGGATATCTGTAAAATCCCTTTTTTAAAATTTTCTTGGGATATCTAGCGTTTTAATGTGATATATGTTGAATTTTCTTTGTGTTATCTGATTCTTATCTATTGCTTGAAGCATTAAAACAAACGTTTGCATAATATTATCAGAGGATAACGGGAAAATGTGACCTGCTTGTTTGTTGTTTTAATGGTGTGATGTAATGATGATAATGTACATTCTTCCTGGTAATATTTTGTATACTTTAAGTGTCCTTATATTCACTCATTCACTTTTATTTTTATCACTAATAAAATGCTCTCTATTTTATCAAAGGTTTTTTTTATCTTTCACCTATCTATTGTATGCTAGCTGTAGTTAGCTTACGTGTATGACGTATTGTTAACACATCCTTTGCGAACACCATCGACTGCTGGCACTCAGTTCAATCAATTTAAATCCGGATTAGCAGTAGCTGGATCAGAAGCTATACTTGACTTACAACCATATTCCATATGTATTTGTATAATTATTTCGATAACTTCAGGCCTTAAGATCGGTAACAAATTCTAGAATGACGCCGTAACTTTGTGATACATTTTATTTCATAGTTTGCATCCTACTGTCTCCGGTTTTAGATGTGTATTTTTTTTTTTTAATTTTTCAATCCTTCCAGGTAAAGTACGTACTATAAGGGAAGCCTTTGAGCCGTTCTTGTTTATGAATGAGTGTAGGTATAATGACTAATTAGTGATGATCAATAAAGCTATGAGATAAATATCAAATTAGAAATTAACTATACATAAGCACTATTAATTAATGAACTTTTGTAGAGGATTAACTTTGTTGATATCGTAATTACTCCTAATCCATAAATTCATTCGTCCATGAACTGTAGAATTAGTGTAAGTAGGTTTATTGAGTATCCACGAAACCAAGAGTCCGCGAAATCGCAAATTTTTAGGAAAACAAATATTTAAAAATCCGACAATAGACCCCCAGGAAGATACGTGGTTTTAAAGTATTGCAGGATGTATCGATGATTAAATATTATTTCTAAATAAAGGATACCGATATGTCACACATGACTGCTATCACGAGTGAACTGAAGGCACGATTTTTGTTGGAATTTGCTATAACGTTATAGAGAATGGCCAAATTAAAAAGTGAAATGAAGGATTAAACGTGACTTTCCAATTAAGAAAGAATATTTCAAACCATCGCCGATACTAGCTTTGCAGAGGAAACACCTGTCATTAATGAATAAAACGTCATTGAAAACGGAACTAACCGAACAGATGTCATTGATAACGGAACTGACAGAGCATACGTCATTGATAATGGATCTAACCGAACATACGTCATTGATAATGGATCTAACCGAACATACGTCATTGATAATGGATCTAACCGAACATATGTCATTGATAATGGATCTAACCGAACATACGTCATTGATAATGGATCTAACCGAACATACGTCATTGATAATGGATCTAACCGAACATACGTCATTGATAATGGATCTAACCGAACATACGTCATTGATAATGGAACTGACAGAACATACGTCATTGATAATGGAACTGACAGAACATATGTCATTGAAACATACGTCATTGATAATGGAACTGACAGAACATACGTCATTGATAATGGAACTAACCGAACATATGTCATTGATAATGGAACTGACAGAACATATGTCATTGATAATGGAAATGACAGAACATATGTCATTGATAATGGAACTAACCGAACATATGTCATTGATAACGGAATTGACAGAACATATGTCATTGATAACGGAACTGACAGAACATACGTCATTGATAACGGTGCTGACAGAACATACGTCATTGATAACGGTGCTGACAGAACATACGTCATTGATAATGGAACTTACCGAACATACGTCATTGATAACGGAATTGACAGAACATATGTCATTGATAATGGAACTGACAGAACATATGTCATTGAAAATGGAACGAACCGAACATATGTCATTGATAACGGAAATGACAGAACATATGTCATTGATAACGGTGCTGACACAGTATACGTCATTGATAACGGAACTGGCAGAACAAACGTCATTGATAATGGAACTGACAGAACATACGTCATTGATAACGGAACTGACAGAGCATACGTCATTGATAATGGAACTAACCGAACATACGTCATTGATAACGGAACTGACAGAACATATGTCATTGATAACGAAAATGACAGAACATACGTCATTGATAACGGAACTGACAGAACATTTGTCATTGATAATGGAACTAACCGAACATATGTCATTGATAACGGAATTGACAGAACATACGTCATTGATAATGAGAATGACAGAACATACGTCATTGATAACGGAGCTGACAGAACATACGTCATTGATAACGGTGCTAACAGAACATACGTCATTGATAATGGAACTAACCGAACATACGTCATTGATAACGGAAATGACAGAACATACGTCATTGATAACGGTGCTGACAGAACATACGTCATTGATAATGGAACTAACCGAACATACGTCATTGATAACGGAAATGACAGAACATACGTCATTGATAATGGAACTAACCGAACATACGTCATTAATAACGGAACTGACAGAGTATACGTCATTGATATTGGAACTGGCAGAACATACGTCATTGATAATGGAACTCACAGAACATACGTCATTGAAAACGGAAATGACAGAACATACGTCATTGATAACGGTGCTGACAGAACATACGTCATTGATAACGGAAATGACAGAACATACGTCATTGATAACGGTGCTGACAGAACATACGTCATTGATAACGGAACTGGCAGAACATACGTCATTGTTTTTTTTTCAGTTATTTACCAATGTTTCCAGAATTCCACTTAATTATATTCCTAAAAAGATGATGCTTGATATACATATTGTTGATATCAATAAACGTAATGAAAAACAGATTTACGCTTATTCGAAATGCTGAAATTTAATTTTTTGCATTTCTCAGCACCATTTATATACAACACGGTCACTGTAACTAACAAGATGCTCTTTTTACACTTAATTAAATCATCGAAATTATGAAAATAAACTCCTTGTAGGAACAGCTTTGTCAAACAATATTACAATTTCTTAGATATTTTTTACATAAAAAGTAACAATTTAGTAGATTAACACATCATTTTAAATCAGTTTAAATATTCTTGTGCTAATAATTTAACTCGACATTTTCTTTTTCGAAATGAGATAACCGAAACTAGATCCTGCCTACACATGTAACAACATTTCTGACAGTTGTATTGTAATTTACATGTATCTATCAGTCATTTAGAGATATTTATGAGGAGTTAGTAAACAGATTGTATCGAGTAAGTGACTTTAGAAAAAAAATTGCTATCACGCGTTTTGATCATCATTCCATTCAGGTATAACCTTTGTGCAAGCATACACACATGTACTCAAGATACATGTATTCTTTACAAAGGTAGAATAAAGGAGAACCTAAAGAACGGATTTGATCAGTGAAACAATATTTTCTAAACATTTTTAAAATGTCCCTGCAGCTGACACGATCCATTGAGTGCATTGAAATAGTGATATTATCTTATGCTTCCAGAGTTTTTACATAAATAACAATAAAGTGAAGTGGTGTCTTCTGTATAATTTGTCCATTAACAGTCTTTTTTTATTTATTTTTTTACATATCCTATAATAGGGTAAAAACAGGTAAACGTTAGACCCGAAACCATGAAATAAGGACGGTTGGTCCAACGTCAGGTTCTTTTGAGTGGAGGACACTCATTCCCAAAGAAGCCTCCCAGTTCATGTTGTTGGCTCCAATGTCAGTTTTTTTCTTTTTTCCGAAACATCTGGTATTATTCTCCTTGCACTTCTGAATGAGTCTCTGAAATGTTGTGTATTTTTAAAAATAAATTACTGAAAATCAACATGGTGAAATGAGTTGGCTTCATGTCGTTTTTTTCTCATAAATATTTAGTTCGCGAACATTTGGTAACCTTTGAACATCCTTGCACTTCTGTAAATCAGTCATACACACTCGAGTAGAAATGTTGTGTATTTTTAAAAATAAATTACTGAAAATCAACATGGTGATCCTTATGCTTTTCACAGTAAAGAGTTCGAGCGAGACATCTTCATGTACGTTATAAATCCATATCATAAATATTTAGTTCGCGAACATTTGCGAAACCTTTGAACATGCAGAATATTGAGATAACGGTACCCGTACCTTACAAGTACAATCAGTAACATACACACTCGAGTAGATCAAGTACAAGTATAGATTAGCTCTTTCGTATTTCATCAAAATTTGTATCAAATGGTGTTATTTTTGGTGTGTTTCTTTTGTTCAATCTTTGATGAGCTTGCTTTGTCTAATGAGGATACAATACACTTACCTTGTCCTTATCTAATGAGGATACGATACACTTACCTTGTCCTTATCTAATGAGGATACGATACACTTACCTTGTCCTTATCTAATGAGGATACAATACACTTACCTTGTCCTTATCTAATGAGGATACGATACACTTACCCTGTCCTTATCTAATGAGGATACAATACACTTACCTTGTCCTTATCTAATGAGGATACAATACACTTATCTTGTCCTTATCTAATGAGGATACAATACACTTATCTTGTCCTTATCTAATGAGGATACAATACACTTACCTTGTCCTTATCTATTCACCAGTATCCAGTAACATACACACAATTATAGGTAGAGAGAATCACCAGTATCCAGTAACATACACACAATTATAGGTAGAGAGAATCACCAGTATCACCAGTATCCAGCAAAATACACACAATTATAGGTAGAGAGAATCACCAGTATCCAGCAAAATACACACAATTATAGGTAGAGAGAATCACCAGTATCCAGTAACATACACACAATTATAGGTAGAGAGAATCGTCAGTATCCAGTAACATACACACAATTATAGGTAGAGAGAATCGTCAGTATCCAGTAACATACACACAATTATAGGTAGAGAGAATCACCAGTATCCAGCAAAATATACACAATTATAGGTAGAGAGAATCACCACCAGTAACATACACACAATTATAGGTAGAGAGAATCGTCAGTATCCAGTAACATACACACAATTATAGGTAGAGAGAATCGTCAGTATCCAGTAACATACACACAATTATAGGTAGAGAGAATCACCAGTATCCAGTAACATACACACAATTATAGGTAGAGAGAATCACCAGTATCCAGTAACATACACACAGTTATAGGTAGAGAGAATCGTCTGAATCCAGTAACATACACACAATTAAAGGTAGAGAGAATCGTCAGAATCCAGTAACATACACACAATTAAAGGTAGAGAGAATCGTCAGTATCCAGTAACATACACACAATTATAGGTAGAGAGAATCACCAGTATCCAGTAACATACACACAATTATAGGTAGAGAGAATCGTCAGTATCCAGTAACATACACACAATTATAGGTAGAGAGAATCACCAGTATCCAGCAACATACACACAATTATAGGTAGAGAGAATCACCAGTATCCAGCAACATACACACAATTATAGGTAGAGAGAATCACCAGTATCCAGTAACATACACACAATTATAGGTAGAGAGAATCACCAGTATCCAGTAACATACACATGATAGGTAGAGAGAATCGTCAGTATCCAGGAACATACACACAATTATAGGATTTCGGATCATTTTGTCATCAAAGTAGATGGAATCGACAATGGACTGTTGATTCCTGTGTCGGTGTGAGATTTCCTATCATAGCCTTTCTATGTAAGGTTTTGACTCTTATAATCAATTATATCTTTATTACTTTATATAAGGAAAAGATGCATTTCCCTGAACATGAAACGATAGAAAAATTGTGCTTTAAAACGTGAAAAAAAATCATCAGAAAAATTGAGCTTTAAAATATTAAGCTGTTGTAAGAATTTTACAACAATTCAGAGTCGATCAAATTATATACTGATTAATTTAGAAAATCCAACAGCAGCAAAACCATTATTATCAAACGTAGATTTCAGCAGGAGCCGTTAATGAGAAACATCATATACTGTAAACTTCAGGTAGATGGTGATCATTTCTGATTACAGCAGAATCTGGTGATGATGATAAAACGATCACCTTCATCTTATAACACAACCATTAGAAGATTAGAGTGTGATGTTTCGATGACAACAGTGTCGCCTCCATCACATAACACAACCAGTAAAAGATTAAAGTGTGACGTTTCGATGACAACACGATCACCTTCATCTTATAATAAACCAGTAGAAGGTTACAAAATGTTCGAGAGTCTGTGGTCCCTCCCCCTAGGGGGTTGACATTACCAACTTGAAGACAATGTTCCAAAATATCCGAAGTATAAACAAATTGTTGTCACAGATGTGCGAAAGCTCGAGAGCCTTGGAAAGAAATTAGCGAGACAGAGAAATCACCTTGTGTTTACGCTGCGATGTAGGGACTTAGAAATAACACCTTCAAATCCCAATATCAGATGCCCGATTAATACCATTAATGCCCGAAAGATCATAAGCAAAGTGCAGAAAGATCTAGTGAGAGAAAGAACGCGTTACCAACAACAAAACGGACACCTTGGAAAGAGAGAAAACAATCAATCGTTAAGCTTACCGAGCGGTTACCGAGTGACAGTCTCGGGGACTACCGAGCGGTTATCGAGTGACACTATCGGGGACTATCGAGCGGTTATCGAGTGACACTCTCGGGGACTACCGAGCGGTTATCGAGTGACACTACCGGAGACTCGAGCGGTTATCGAGTGACACTATCGGGGACTATCGAGCGGTTATTGAGTGACACTCTCGAAGTTGAAATGTCCGATAAAGAAATCTACCTATTAATAAATCTGCACTTACAGATAATTCCTCACAGCAAAATCATATCATTGACGGGAAAATTCCAAAATAGTCGACAGGGATAACAAGCGATTCGTTAAGGAAGTCATCTGGTACGCCGTAGAGAGCCAGTACTTAATAGGGACGAGGGGGCCGGTGACTTTCACACATATATGATCAAGTGTTAAAGAATGCGTGGCCGAATTGACTACAGTGCATTGTTACAATCTGGTGTATTTTTATCTATAATCTGTTTACCATCTCGTCACACTATTTTCGACCTTAGTGTACAGAGGATTACAGTGCTGCCGAAAAAGTTGGTCGATTCCATACCATCTCGTCCACTACGTACGTCAGTGTTAGTACGCTCCACACTGGTCATTTGTCTGATGAAGGTAATCGTAAAGTCATCGAAACGTCACACTGTTATCTTCTACTGGTTGTGGTATAAGATGAAGGTGATCATGCAGTCATCGAAACGTCACATTCTTATCTTCTACTGGTTGTGTTATAAGGTGATGGTGACCGTGTAGTCATCGAAACGCCACACTCTTATCTTCTACTGGTTGTGTTATAAGATGAAGGTGATCATGCAGTCATCGAAACGTCACATTCTTATCTTCTACTGGTTGTGGTATAAGACGAAGGCGATCATGTAGTCATCGAAACGCCACACTCTTATCTTCTACTGGTTGTGTTATAAGATGAAGGTGACCATGTAGTCATCGAAACGTCACACTCTAATCTTCTAATGGTTGTGTTATAAGATGAAGGTTACCGTGTTATCACAAAAACGTCACACTCTTATCTTCTAAGGGTTGTGTTTTAAGATGAAATGACCGTGTAGTCATTGAAACGTCACACTCTAATCTTCTACTGGTTGTGTTATAAGATGAAGGTGACCATGTAGTCATCAAAAACGTCACACTCTAATCTTCTACTGGTTGTGTTATAAGATGAAGGTGATCATGTAGTCATCGAAACGCCACACTCTTATCTTCTACTAGTTGTGGTAAAGATCTTCTATTCTATTACAAGGATAGTTTACCGAAATCACCTTTATTTTAAGTTACAAGGATAGCTATCCGAAATCACCTTTATTTTAAGTTACAAGGATAGCTATCCGAAATCACCTTTATTTTAAGTGACAAGGATAGCTATCCGAAATCACCTTTATTTTAAGTTACAAGGATAGCTATCCGAAATCACCTCTATTTTAAGTTACAAGGAGAGTTTTCTCTATTATGATATCGTACAAATAAAATACAACTTACTCGTGAATCGTTTACATTTTGTTTATTTCCTTCGATAACACGAAGACTTGCAGGAAACAATATACATATTTACACGAAATCAATTACCAACAAAATTAAAAAAAACAGTCAACAATATATCGATGTAATTAGCTTTCTTTAAGCAAAGCTTCGCAGGACGAAACAGGCGATTTTAAAGCTCAGACAATACTGCTTAAAAAATTAATGTTAAACTTGGTGCATAATTTAAAACACTTCCCTGTAAGATCACAACTCATTCTTATACACGATATGCACTGAGGGTCTAACATGATAAGTAAATAGCACCATGATGAATATCTAGTGTTCGTAAACTTTTGTTTGGATCCGGATGTAACAAATACATATACATCGAATTCTCTAGGTTTGGATAATGTGTCTCTGAAGTCTCAACTTTGTTAAAGAAAAATCAACCGTCTGTAATGTTCACTAAGATGGCTACAAATTCTGTTTTTTGGACTGTGAAAGTTTATTCCCAAAAAATCAAAAAGGTTTTCAACAGTGCGAAAACTTCAGTTTATGTTTTTTTCCCCAAAGAAATGATTTCGGAAGTCCTACTAAATGTATAGGTATGTTTTAGTAGAAATTCGGAATATTTCCCTGACAATATCTGTAAACCGATTTCGGTAAGTGAGTGATACGATGTCTGTGTCATCTATTGTAGATAAAATCTGGTAACTCGATGTAGTATTACTACCAAATTGTAATACAGAATTGCTGAAAGCTTCACGTGGACAATTAACTATCGTTATGAAATGGCGACTGCTCAGCCTGAAAGCCACATGCCAACGTGTAACCAAATGTTCCGGTCTATTGAATGTGGAATGTCGGTCTAATGAGACTTAATATATACTATATCATCAATCTTTAATTCCTGCAGGAGATATTTAAATAATAAATGATAATTTTAATAATTTACATGTGTAAATCCACACTAATTGGTATTACGATCTTCATGTCAAAAAAAACACATATCCGTGTGTAACCAATTGTTCCGGTCTGTTAAATGTCGGTCCCACGAGACTGAACAGATCGATAATAAGATATGAAGTAACTCTTGAACTTTGTATGATAAACTGATTGAGATCAGCATCCATTATTCAGGACCTAGTTCGTAAGGTAGTCCACATGCTATTGATTTGTTCCGGTGTTCAGAGATTCCGTTTGTAAAGTTGGTTTTCATTACACTATGACACCTAATCGATGAAGCATTACATAGACGTGTAATAAGGTGAAGGTGACCTGATCAGGTCACAGTGTGATAAATCTTAGGAAATATGAGAGAGTACATTATATGTGGCATTGACACTCTATCCCTATAGCTCACTTGGTCCTCCGTTGTAGGTGAGCGATAAATTGAAGTCACGGTTTTTAAATCTGCTGACAGATTTTCATTCTTAGGAACAGTCTACATTACAATTTGTATATTGTACTAAGGACATATGAGAAAAACTTCTCATAAGGATTTCTAAAATCACACTCAGGGTTCATTGTCATATTAACTCTAAAACATCTTAGTTAAACCTAATTAGAAAGTAGGAACGGCGATTTTGAACTCCCTAGATGATTTTTTATGTTATTTTTTATAAGTACAAAGTGTACATGACTCCAAATGGTTTTTTTCTGATTCAATCTCAAGTGAAACAATCTTGGATGAAATTTTGGTTTCCACTTTAATTAAATATCTCATCATTGACATCTATATTAATTTACAAGCATGAGAATTACAAAAACGTTACCGTGGAAGTAAATGGAAGTTTGTCTCATTTTTTTTAATCTCAGGACGGCCAATGTTGCGTTAAAAATGGAACCGTGAAAAAAAATGCACTATGGCCCGTTTTCAAAATTTTGAATTAAACTAGGAAGCCATGAAAAACTAGACTTACAATATCACTGAATTACTCTTACCCATATGTTAGCATTGGATCCGACTTAACGTCTGAACTCCTTTGTAGTGATGGCATAGATGAAACGTGTATGATGTGTTTGATGCCACTGTTTGAGGGAAGGGTATAGAGAGTAGACGATAGGGGTACAGGGTAAGGGTAGAGGGTAAAAGGTGGGGAGCAGGGGTAGTGGTAGGGATAGAGGGTAGGTGGTACTAGCATCAGGTAGGTAGATGTGGATACCACGTGTGACGACTGCACCCACTGTTTACCTGTCTTGCTGTCTCTTTCCACTGCCACAATCTTCCTCTATTGGCTCCGAGTAACAATGTAATACAATGTTACCAACATGTTGCAGAATTGCAGTATTTGATTCCAAATGTATTTTAAGGTTTTATTTTGTAAAAGTTATAGGATAATGGCAGGGCTTAATACCTAGACTGGAGCTGATTGATTTTGATAGAAAAAGTAATCTCAGAAATTTCTGCGATGTAAATGGTGAGATTTTGATATTGAGCAATTAACCAATTAACATAAGTGGCGAAAAGAGCGAAAAACTGTAATATTATGAGTTTAGGCATCGAAGCTGGAAATGGTTTATCTGAATATGTCTGGTATGAAATCTACTACTGCTGATTTAATTATAACATAAAACTACATACAACGAGAAAAGCTTACCCGTGGGGGTAATTTTATGAGAAAATCTATATAACACATATATATTATATATGAACATTGACTGTAAGAAAATAGCGATTTCCTCGGCACTTGTTATCAGATTCAGACCAGTTGTAGAGGGTGACCTCTATTACAAACACCACTATAACAAATAGACCTCTCCCGTTGTAGAGCGTGACCTCTATAACAAATAGACCCCTCCCGTTGTAGAGCGTGACCTCTATAACAAATAGACCTCTCCCGTTGTAGAGCGTGACCTCTATAACAAATAGACCTCTCCCGTTGTAGAGCGTGACCTCTATTAGCACAGCACTGTCACTGTTAGTAAGAAATGCCGTAGTGAAGTGATTCTAACGTCAGGAATCCCTCAGCAATTGTAAATTGAATCATCAAAGCCATCCTTTCCCTTTATATTTCTACCTTAAAGAACGTTGTACCAACATAATAATATATATGTAATTATAGATAGTTATAGATTGACAAGCTTAACAACGGATTGTAAAATAGAATGTAGTATACAATATTTTAAGTAATTGAAACACGACAGCAAAGTATTCTACATCATACAACAGCAGTAATGAAAATGTATTCATTGAACACATATGAAGGAATTTCAATTATAATAGGCTTTAATCATTTCCGATATGTAATTGACTGAAGTAAAATAAAATTCAGTCTCTGATATACTCCACCCATACATGTTTTGTCCATCATTAAGTATAAATGGAATAAGTCAAAGTCTGGATGAGATTGTAAATATACACTAAACATATAACTACTGATGCTGATGCTTTGACAACAAATCTGGTCTCGAATGTCGTCAGTAAAGTACACTGTAAATCTACGTGAGAGTACACATCATTATTAATTAGTCCATACTTCTGACATAATAATGTTGTTTCAAAATTTCTTCTGAATACAATTAGTCTCCTATTACTATTCCGTATGACCGCTCATTTTCAGGAAGTTCAATTAATGATTTTTACAGGATGTGAGGAGCCGGTTTATTACGTATCAATATGAAAATATACATTCATTCTCTCTTTCCGTGCGTTTCTTCCTATAACACGCGAGAAGAGGTCATGAATCATTGATGATCAAAGCATCGCAGACATCTGAGAGATTTCACACATGTGTACCATCTGTTATCTTTGGTTGTGGATTTTTAATGTGTTTTATGATATCCATGAAAACAACAAAACAAAAAACTGCTACGATGAATACTCCAGCACCTATAGCGACGAGATCGCGGGTGTCCAGAACGAAAACATCTGTAAGATAAAACATAGAATACGTCATTAGAGATCAACATACTGTGCACAAGCAAAGACGAGTTATGTCCCTTATCATCAATAGGCCATTTTGTTGTATTGAACGTTTAGTGTGATGACCTGGGTATTATACTCAATTAACACACACCTTGTTGATGATTTATTGACTTACGCTGCTTATAATATGTTTACCCTGACCACCTGAATATTATACTCAGATAACACACACCTTGTTGTTGATTTATTGACTTACGCTGTTTATAATATGTTTACTCTGACCACCTGGATATTATACTCAGATAACACACCTTGTTGATGATTTATTGACTTACGTTGTTTATAATATATTTACCCTGACCACCTGAATATTATACTCAGATAACACACCTTGTTGTTGATTTATTGACTTACGTTGTTTATATTTACCCTGACCACCTTGATATTATACTCAGATAACACACACCTTGTTGTTGATTTATTGACTTACGCTGTTTATAAAATATTTACCCTGACCACCTGGATATTATACTCAGATAACACACCTTGTTGTTGATTTATTGACTTACGTTGTTTATATTTACCCTGACCACCTTGATATTATACTCAGATAACACATACCTTGTTGCTAACCACCTGGATATTATACTCGGATAACACACCTTGTTGTTGGTTTATTGACTTACGCTGTTTATAATATATTTACCCTGACCACCTGGATATTATACTCAGATAACACACCTTGTTGTTGATTTATTGATTTACGTTGTTTATGTTTACCCTGACCACCTGGATATTATACTCAGATAACACACACCTTGTTGTTGATTTATTGACTTACGTTGTTTATAATATGTTTACCCTGACCACCTGGATATTATACTCAGATAACACATACCTTGTTGCTAACCACCTGGATATTATACTCGGATAACACACCTTGTTGTTGGTTTATTGACTTACGCTGTTTATAATATGTTTACCCTGACCACCTGGATATTATACTCAGATAACACACACCTTGTTGTTGATTTATTGACTTACGTTGTTTATTTATAATATGTTTACCCTGACCACCTGGATATTATACTCAGATAACACACACCTTGTTGTTGATTTATTGACTTACGTTGTTTATAATATATTTACCCTGACCACCTGGATATTATACTCAGATAACACATACCTTGTTGCTAACCACCTGGATATTATACTCAGATAACACACCTTGTTGTTGGTTTATTGACTTACGCTGTTTATAATATGTTTACCCTGACCACCTGGATATTATACTCAGATAACACACACCTTGTTGTTGATTTATTGAAGTACGCTGTTTATAATATATTTACCCTGACCACCTGGATATTATACTCAGATAACACACCTTGTTGTTGATTTATTGATTTACACACCTTGTTGTTTATGTTTATAATATGTTTACCTGACCACCTGGATATTATACTCAGATAACACACCTTGTTGTTGATTTATTGACTTACGTTATTTATAATATATTTACCACTGACCACCTGGATATTATACTCAGATAACACACCTTGTTGTTGATTTATTGACTTACGTTGTTTATATTTACCCTGACCACCTTGATATTATACTCAGATAACACACACCTTGTTGTTGATTTATTGACTTACGCTGTTTATAAAATATTTACCCTGACCACCTGGATATTATACTCAGATAACACACATTGTTGTTGATTTATTGACTTACGTTGTTTACGTGGATATTATACTCAGATAACACATACCTTGTTGCTAACCACCTGGATATTATACTCGGATAACACACCTTGTTGTTGGTTTATTGACTTACGCTGTTTATAATATATTTACCCTGACCACCTGGATATTATACTCAGATAACACACACCTTGTTGTTGATTTATTGACTTACGTTGTTTATAATATATTTACCCTGACCACCTGGATATTATACTCAGATAACACACCTTGTTGTTGATTTATTGACTTACGTTGTTTATAATATGTTTACCCTGACCACCTGGATATTATACTCAGATAACACATACCTTGTTGCTAACCACCTGGATATTATACTCAGATAACACACCTTGTTGTTGGTTTATTGACTTACGTTGTTTATAATATATTTACCCTGACCACCTGGATATTATACTCAGATAACACACACCTTGTTGTTGATTTATTGACTTACGCTGTTTATAATATATTTACCCTGACCACCTGGATATTATACTCAGATAACACACCTTGTTGTTGATTTATTGACTTACGTTGTTTATAATATGTTTACCCTGACCACCTGGATATTATACTCAGATAACACACACCTTGTTGTTGATTTATTGACTTACGTTGTTTACGTTTACCCTGACCACCTGGATATTATACTCAGATAACACACCTTGTTGTTGGTTTATTGACTTACGTTGTTTATAATATGTTTACCCTGACCACCTGGATATTATACTCAGATAACACACCTTGTTGTTGATTTATTGACTTACGTTGTTTATAATATATTTACCCTGACCACCTGGATATTATACTCGGATAACACACCTTGTTGTTGGTTTATTGACTTACGCTGTTTATAATATATTTACCCTGACCACCTGGATATTATACTCAGATAACACACACCTTGTTGTTGGTTTATTGACTTAGACTGTTTATAAAAGCTGTGAAATTATTTAGTTGCTTTGTCGTCTCTGTTACCTTCTTGCACTTTTATGTTATATATAAATGACGTTGGCAGACACAAAAAATAAAATGCCAAAGTGCATATGTGATCTGTCATGAAAGCTGAGACGCTGGAACTTTTATCGCAAAATATATTGAAACTGTCCGTTCTTTAACTTAAAAATCTAGACCTGTGGCGCCAAAGCGACAAAAAAACGGAACCTTGTGTAATATCATTATTCATTTTACAAGTACTCGTGTATTTGTTCTGGTAAATTGTGTGTATCGTTTATACGCAGTGTTTCAGAAGGCAAAACTACATATATCTAAGCATCTGTGAGAGATATACATTATGGTTGTCGTTTCTAAATACCACATCAAATAGTACATCAGTTTTAAATAATTTAGCGTTTTGAAGAATCGCTTGTAGGTTTATAGAAACTGACAAATGTTATAGACAGAGACATGGGGAACTCTCCTTCATTCCCTGAACATTACAATACACAACAACTACAGACAATATGAGATAACACGTACTAGTACTCATTGTACAGGAGCCAAGACGGCGACAACAGAGGAGAAAGATATGAAGGGCAAGATATGGTTACTTGAGTAGGTCACTAATTAGTTTTTAAACTTTACAAAGAAAGTGATAAAGGACGGTTTTGTGAGCTTAATTCAGTTTTGAAAATATCTGATTGTCTAGTTAAAAAAATCTTATTTTAAGCATCACACTTACGTTTTGAAAACAGCATATTTGTCGAATCATTCACTTTGTATTCACAGAGCACTGCTGTTTTTTCGGAACATTTTTTGGTATGTCTTGAAATGTTCATTTCTCGTCCCAGTTTCGCAAATTCGCATTTTCTATCATCGTCAGTTGTTCTTTTACTAACGGTTCTATTAATTTTATCGTGATGTTTCCTTCTCGTCCAAAATTGAAAAGATGAATTTGTGAAATTTAGATAAAGGTACTGAAATGCTGACGTCACGTCAGAGTCTATGTCCATATATGGAATGTCGCTTCCTTCCTTCTTGCATAATTGCTCAGCGTGTACAAAGTCATGGAATTCAGGAAAAAATTTTAAGCATCTCCGGCGTTGAATATTCATCGACCAGTGTTGGGATGGGCAGTCATCTGCAACAATATATATTAAAAGTTTTAACCAAAGTAGCTCGTAGGTTATCTGGTGTAAAAACATGCAACACGTGCTTGGTTATAATTGCTTTCGTCGTAAATAAAGAGGTAACTCTCATCACTTAAAGTTCCAAGACCGTTCCCTTTGAACATGATATGGCATCACATTTACAACAACAACAAATTAAACCAGTGTAATATATACCTAGAACGGTAACAGAAAACCTCAAATATCTTCATAACGTACGTAGTAAACATTCTTATTCTAGAATAATGTTAGTAGTGCCGTTATTGAAAGAAATGAAACAAGCATGTCTTAATAACTTAAAAAAGGGTTCGGAGATGAGTAAACACGTCTTAAGCTCATCGAAATCGTAACCATACACCAACACGATTTCAAGTTACAATATCCTTGTATAGATATGAACATTCCTTGGCATAACTTAACGAACTTGAAAGATAAGTATGAAAAAAAATCTTAATTCAGTATTGCTGTGAAGCTTTCGACATAAACTTGTTTACTTAATTCCTGAAAAGTATAGATGAAGTGTCCGTGTCACCATAGTTACCGATTTATTTGTTTGGTGTGATAATAGACTAGGTCACCATATATACGATTTTGTCACCATAGAAATGAAGCTTGTACAAAGGACACATACAAATAAATAGCACTAGTCATAATTTGTCGCGTCATCATAGCAACGACTAATTAGTCCTGTTTGATGATACGACTGTGTTACCATAGTAACGACTAATTAGTCCTGTTTGATGATACGACTGTGTTACCATAGTAACGACTAATTAGTCCTGTTTGATGATACGACTGTGTTACCATAGTAACGACTTATTAGTCCTGTTTGATGATACGACTGTGTTACCATAGTAACGACTAACTAGTCTGGTTTGATGATACGACTGTGTTACCATAGTAACGACTAACTAGTCTGGTTTGATTTTACGACTGTGTCACCATAGTAACGACTAACTAGTCTGGTTTGATGATACGACTGTGTCACCATAGTAATGACTAACTAGTCTGGTTTGATGGTACGACTGTATTACCATAGTAATGACTAACTAGTCTGGTTTGATGAGACTACTGTGTCACCATAGTAATGACTAACTAGTCTGGTTTGATAAAGAACAATAAGAAAATACAAACATGTCAACAAAAATCATAATCTAAAATCGAATCCAGTAAAACAAGGGCAAATATAAGCAAAAGAAAGATTTACAAGAAGACTCGTGAAAAAAAACATGGAGAATAAGACCAAGTCCTCTGGAAAAGTGAATGACTTCTTTTTCATCGACGACAACTGCCATGTAAATATCTTGGTCAATCTAAGTAAGTAATGTCAGGTTCTCAAATAAAAACAAGGTGCACGGAATCAACAAGCAAACTAACGAGCATCAATTACATCCAGCTTCATATCGCAAAAGATATAGAATATTTCTCAACGAGATCACTATGATAAATGTGTTACAATAGAAACGACTAATAAGTATTGTTTAATATTCTGCCCATGTCACCATAGTAACGACTATTTAATCCGGTTTGATCATACAATATTTTCACCATACTTACGACCAATTAATGGTTTGATGATATACCCGAGCAACCCAACTAACGACTACCTAGTCTGGTTTATGAATACGACTTTGTCACCATGGTAACCACTAATTAGTCCGGTTTGATAATATGACTGTGTCGCCATAGTAACGAGCCCGGTGCTACAGACTAAGAAGCCAGGTGCGATACGTGTATAATACAATTGTTGGACCATATTCGATTGTAGATGGTGTTATTGTAGTGTAACAACGTAGAAATCTAAACATGTGCTCGTCGTTTCTTCGAGGCATGTTTAACAGATCATCTTATTATGTATTTCTATGGTAATGATAGGTTCATGAATTATGTCCTTTATTTCTTTATATTCAAACTTTACAAATGAGCTGTAACAATTAGCATCTATTGTCCATGAAGACGATGTTATTCTGTATGAAATACTGAATATGATTCAAATAGACTTTAGATGTACTCGTGCATACATTGCGAATGTTTGAATAGGTGAAAATTCCTCAGAATTTCAAAAGACTCGAAGTGAAATTATATAATGCAATTTATATATACAAAATCAGATGTTCATATTTTACCCTCTTCAAGGTTATGACCTCACTTGTGGACACAATGTTTAAAAAGTGTTTTACAGTGTTATTCAGTTTGCGTCATACTGATCGTGGTCTTGGACCCAGATGGAGTCAAAACTGAGACATGTCAAAGCGCAAACAATTAAATATAATTAATTTATTTGTTCAAGTACTAAATAAACTTTAGGTATTGCAATAGAAATGTATTTTGAGTTCATATTATTGAACCATCAGCTTTTTGGAAACCAGTTTAGTTCCAAGTTATAGGCAATTTACTTTTAATACATCATTGATAAAATTAGGTCGCCTTTTCCGGCTTGCTCAAAGATCATTTCAGGTCAAGTGGGATTTTTTAATCGCAAAATGGTCAGATATGTACGGAAGTCGATTAGGACTACCCTGATGAAAATTATTTTCTTTCTCGAAATTACGATATCCTTTTTCATGATAACGACTTTCTTTCTCGTTATAACGAGGTCCTGGGAGAGAAATTCGTTATAACGAGAAAAATAAATTCATGATGACGAGAAAGAAAGAGGTGTTTAGAGTAGTTGCCCCTCCTGGGCCCTATTGATATTTCTGAGTCTTATGTTAAATATATTTCAACGTTTTTGTTGTTAGCTCGTCTTTTCGAAGCAAAAACTATTAAATTCTTCCTCAGTTTCACTAACAATCATTACCTGAAATGACTTAAACTAGTCACGTAACATCGTTGTTTGAAAACAGGAGAGCGATTTAAATTCTTACTGAAAGATACCCTGCCAACAATTGGTGTTTAGTGTGTTGACATAGTCATGGCAACAGACTCTGGATTGACTTGTTTTTGTTTTTACATGTACTGGTATCCGACAGACTCGTAGGACACGTTGAATCATTCCGTATTTTAGTTGTTCCAGAGACCTGACCAGTCTCTGACATTGTATCGATGGACCTGACCCTTCTCTCCCAAGGGCTGGGATAAAGGTCACCTCCTCCTGAATACAGCAACTATCGCTGAAATTGGACATAAAGTCTGTCACTAACCGACCAACCGACAAACCAACCAACCAACCGACAACCGACCGACAAACCAACCAACCGACCGACAACCGACCTACAAACCAACCAACCAACCAACCGACATACCAACCAACCAACCGACAAACCAAACGACCAACCGACAGCCGACCGACCAACCGACAACGAACCAACAACCAAGCAAGCAACCAGCCAATCAAGATCTCATGCGAGACTGGATTCATCGAAGATATTTAACTATCAAAGCAGACAATAAATGCCTTGCAAACTCCTTCAGTTTCTCTAAAGGATTATTAATGATGCCATGTTTTAAACAACAACAATTTAAACTACCAAGTCGTAGACATAGTCTAAAACTGAAAATATGATTAACTTTTTTTACCAGCAATGCAACCAACAGGGACATTTTCCCGACAAGCCGTATGATAACTGTTTCGATTTTCCTGTCGTAAACTTTCGTACAATCCTCGATATTGCCGGTGGAAGTTATTGCTGGAAAACACTTAAGTTTCCGAAGAGTCTAAAGTTGGTTCCCAGCATCAGCAGTGCTTGCTGTCATTCACCTGTAATTTCGTAGATTGTACAAAAAAACACAAGTGACATGTGGGTTAAGACAAGACTTGGGGACTGAAGTCATCAGCAGTGTCTGCTCTCTATCACATGTAATTTCCAAGATTGTACAAAAGATACACAGATCAATAAAACCTTTCTATACAAATGTAGAAAACTTTTACAGTTTCAAAGAGCAGGTAGTCATAAAACCATTTCCTTTCCTTTTTCATATTTGGCAATTGTTCTATACCATATTGAATTAGATTATCTTTTCTTGTTTATGTCGTACCTGTAGGATTTTTTTTTTTGTGTTAAGGGGTGAACCTCAACCACGCACTTATAAACTGTATCAGATCTAACGCCGAGGACTAGTCTGGTCCTCGATTTCCTTAAGAATAATGTTAAATATTAAAGCGAATCACGAATTGTTTTAGTGCATATCCACGTGTAGTCATGACTTAACCTTGTAATATTGCGATAAAAAGAGGTGAACATAACAGGACAAAATAACCGAGGTTATTCATTTGTATATCAAAAGCTAAGATTGTATCTTTGAACAGACAGTGTTAAGTTTCAGTTTTCTACATTTAGTGAATTTTATTGCTAACGTACTTTCGTTTTCGGTATAAGTTATACATAGACACAATAGATGACACAAAAACTTCAGATTAATGAATGGTAAACTAACAAGCCACTTCAAGCTTACATATATACACAACAACGAAAATACTGACATATTACAAACACAAAAGTAATATAAGTTGAGTTTGGATTTTCTTGTTGCTTAAGTGTAACTCTTTAAGCGCGAACAGCGTTAAATTGAAATTACTGCTAAAGTATGGGTCTCTGTACACGTGGAGATATATTGTGTAAGACAGACGCGGCTGTCTACGTATGAGATTATGAAGTGAATTTTCAGAATATTACTATTGCTGTATTGGTTAGTGTGTAAAGGAAACCGTGGAGTGTCATCATTTGGCGGTTAGTCATTCATACATCTGTACTACAGTTTACACAATCTCAAGGCTCTAGGCCGTATGGTACATAGACCCGGAAGCAAAACTCTTAAAAATTCAATTCATATAAACAGGACAAGCGGACATGAACAGTCTGAAGCAATTTTAGAAATTCAGTGTTTATTTTAAAGTAGAAATTTCGTGGAAATAATAGGACCTATGTAGAATGAATAGGAATAATGAAATAAAGCAAAAATGAAAATACTAGGTGAAATCTATTACAAACAATACAATATGTTTACTATATGTATACTCTATTACATACAATACAGTATGTATACTACATGTATACTCTATTACAAACAATACAGTATGTTTACTAAATGTATACTCTATTACATACAATACAGTATGTATACTACATGTATACTCTATTACATACAATACAGTATGTATACTATATGTATACTCTGTTACATACAATACAGTATGTATACTACATGTATACTCTATTACATACTATACAGTATGTATACTATCGATTTATTGATGACGTGGTGATTGATCCTACTCTAGGATTATTTTCACGGGTTTCTTTGTGGAACCCGGTAGATGGTTTCTTTACACTGGTGTATACGAGGAAGTTGTACGTCAGTTTATAGAGGTGTCAACATGTACAATAGTTCCGGTTTTGTGATCCGTGTTATCAATACTAGTGATTAGTTACTAGACTCTCTGGGTTATTGATATCATTATTGCAGTGATGAATGAAATAATTGATCCTATTTTAAACTTTAACGTAGAAAAATGCCTGCCTAGCACACATTGGATCATCTCAAAGGATAAATTTGATTACATTTGTACTTACCTTGTCTCCCAAAATATCCAACCGTAGTGACGAAGAAAGTACACAGGTGTAAAATCGATAAATTGATATTGACATCCATTATTTCTGTATACAATTAACCTCCAAGTCCTTGTATATTGCTTTCGTATATCTGCTTTCTCCAACTGTAAAAAGGAAATATTTGAACAACAAGGATGCCCACGCATTTGTTTTATCACTCGCTAAAGGTCACCACGCCTCCAATATTAAACCCCATTGGAATTCTGTATTCACTAACACTTCACTTGTTCATGGTTGCTGCGTGCAGTATTAGAATGATTTCTGTGCACCCAAAGATACCGATACGCATGTTATCTGAACAAGAATATGTGCATGGAGACCTAGCCACATGTATAACTCCGAACCACTTCCGCCTTTCATACTCCACAAAACATCAAATTAAATTATCAACATTAACGGCAAGTATAGACTATTGAAATAATAGAGACAACATGTGTCAGCATCAGTAAGACAAGAGTGTGTGACGTAGGCCTACCTATTGTAAGTGACGTAACAGCTATGTAGGTGGTTGTGTAACATCCCCTATGGATTTGTATCGTGATATCTTTGACACGTTACTGGCATTAAACTACTACTAGAAATCCTACCTTTTCGGTCGTGAATCATTCTACTTCAGTATAAGCCTGATGTATCTGCCTCGTGTTAATATGATACAGAGCCTCATCAACATCTGACTACGGCTTAACTATCAATGATGATTCATTTACGGACTTCATATTAATTCACTAATACTTCGGATGTCAGTACTTTAAACACAATATCGTATGATAGTATAAAACAAAACCTTATAGACTTGTGTATCGTATGACAGTATAAAACAAAACCTTATAGACTTGTGTATCGTATGACAGTATAAAACAAAACCTTAGTATAGACTTGTGTATCGTATGACAGTATAAAACAAAACCTTATAGACTTGTGTATCGTATGACAGTATAAAACAAAACCTTAGTATAGACTTGTGTACCGTATGACAGTATAAAACAAAACCTTATAGACTTGTGTACCGTATGACAGTATAAAACAAAACCTTATAGACTTGTGTACCGTATGACAGTATAAAACAAAACGTTAGTATAGACTTGTGTATTGTATGACAGTATAAAACAAAACCTTAGTATAGACTTGTGTATCGTATGACAGTATAAAACAAAACCTTAGTATAGACTTGTGTATCGTATGACAGTATAAAACAAAACCTTATAGTTGTGTATCGTATGACAGTATAAAACAAAACCGTAGTATGACAGTATAAAACAAAACCTTATAGACTTGTGTATATGACAGTATGTGTATCGTATGACAGTATAAAACAAAACCTTATAGACATCGTATAAATACAAAACCTTATAGACTTGTGTATATGACAGTATAAAACAAAACGTTAGTATAGACTTGTGTATCGTATGACAGTATAAAACAAAACCTTATAGACTTGTGTATCGTATGACAGTATAAAACAAAACCTTAGTATAGACTTATGTATCGTATGACAGTATAAAACAAAACCTTATAGACTTGTGTATCGTATGACAGTATAAAACAAAACCTTAGTATAGACTTGTGTACCGTATGACATTATAAAACAAAACCTTAGTATAGACTTATGTATCGTATGACAGCATTAAACAAAACCTTATGAACAAAATATTAGTATTTCTAATAGACTCGTATATTGCATAAAAATATTATTTTCTAGATCATGAAATCTTAGTATTTCAATAAAACACATGATGATTATGCCTTTTTTCTGTTTATTGTCAGGATTTTGAAGAAAAAAAGGAATTGGGCAACATGCAAAGCCTATGAAAGTCTTTTCCATATATATACATGTATATAAGCACATCAGTCAAATGATTTGTAATTATCAAATAATTTAAAGTAATATTGGGACATTAACATTAGAATTTAGAATATTTTTGAAATGAATAGAAAAAAACTAAAGAGAAAAGGGAAGAAACACTACCATCTATTATCTTTATTGTGTTAAACAACTAATCACGATTGTGTGAAATGTCACTTTAGATGAAGGCAGACTGAAACAGTTCCATATACACTGATAAAGCTGTGCCTGGTCAATAAAACTGAAATGCAGACCCAATCCTTAGAAAACATTAACAGACTGAATGAATGAAAAATTATATTTCAAATTTATTTAAAAGAGACGTCCAGTAATGAATCTCTGAATCAATATCAGAATAGATTTGTCTATACTTGCATCAAATGTATGAGAACCTTTAAGAAGTGTATTTAGTGGTATACAAACTTTTACAGTAGAGAGGGAGTTAAGTAGGAGTGGACTTTGAATAGAGAAAAGAGGACAGTGCAGGATGAAGTTCGACAGGATGACAACAATCACATGCAGGGCTATTAACCAGATGGGAAGGAACTAATTCCGATTTAGGTTACAGAGCTTCTTAGTTCACTGATTATGTATATCAGTAACTGGTTTTGACAAAATTACTCTTGATAACATTTATGGATGTTATTGTGGGAAGCAGACAAGATAGATTATTTGGGTTATTTCATTCCGACCTTTTTTCGGGGGGAGGGGTCTATATTGCTGAGTTCTAGGGGTACATCAAAGAGTCGAAGAGGACAATGGTCAGTATTAGTATTGATAAAAGCTTAGAGGAGGACATGCGAAGGACAATGACTATTTAAATCTTACCTACGTTTTGTTGTATGATTTTTTTTTTTTTTTTATGCTTCAGTCATTTATAACCAATATAATTTCTCGTAGAATGATCTTAATTTCTCTCTCTGTAATCAACGCACGTTTTAGACCGATGCTACCACAAATGAAAAGTTTGGCGTCTTGGGATACATACGGCCTTAAATACACCGTGTACACTTTGTACATTGAAGTCGCACTTCTTAACATGGTGACCTTATCTAAGTACTTTTTTACCAGAATGCACTGCTAGATTTAAAAGGGCATTGCGTAATTACAATAGATTAATAGTGCTGTCTTCATTACGTATAACTAGACAGAATGTATATTATAATGTGTTTATTTCCCTCCAACCCCGCATGCTTATCAAACTTCCGATGTTGCCAGTCGCGGACTTAATTACCATACACTATAAGATAGATTTAATTAGATGAAACCCTTCCTGGATGCCTTGTCTACAGTCGTCATAGTTTTAATGTTATTGCCTAATTTGGCCTGGATATTATACGTACTAGAAATAGTCTTCCTCCTGTTTACAATCCACTGCTTCTTGTCTGTGATACTTCTATATATAGTGTATCTGATAAGGTCAACAGATCACAAACGATACAACACTAACAGAATATCCGTGACTCAATAAAGGTCTTTACAGCGAAACCTCACTATTAAGACCACTTTGGGGACTGGACAAAAGTGGTCTTAATAGCGAGGTGGTCTTAATAGCGAGGTGGATCAAATTGACTGCCAAGAATCGTAAATCTGTTCAAAATAAATTAAGTAATGTATATGTATATTAATCAACGATAATAACTTAAAGTCTTTTAAACTGCATATAAAATGTTGAATTTTTAAAAATGCATGTAAGACAGATAAAATTGGTGAATTGTCAAAAGAATATATATGTATATATTCCTTACTTTATATCATAATATACATGTATATTTACTATTGTAAACATTGAATAAAAGAAAACAAACAGTCAATACTAAGTTCAATTGGAATTTAACATTAATGATTCCCAGCATGAAGGACAAAACTGCTGTGTGAAACAGTTAAATTTATTATTTCATATTTTCAAATTGTCTATTGCTGTATTTAATACTAAAGTATCTTATGTAAATCGCTGCTTAGTCAAAGGTTGTTTTCCGTCCAAAGCAGGGTCATTCAAATAATGACAAATGGTCACTGAAACAGATGTGAAGTGGAATATGAGAAATCAATGGTGTTCAAACATAATTTAATAGTTCTTTTCCAAATTAAAAAATGCAGAAACATGTATATTGTCCAACTTCAACAAAGAATGACACCAAATAAGTACAAATTGCCAAATTTGATGGGTAATATATATCTTTTTCCTTCTACTTTTTATGTCCAGTCTCTGTGTAAATATTTTTCTTATAGTATGCCCTTGTTTTATTGAATTTGAGTTTGGATTATGATTCTGTATTGTGCATTCTACATCATATGGTTTCGTAACTTACTTTTGAATGTCTTTTGTTCATTTTTATCTTTCAGAATAATGTGCGCATAAAAGTGTTGATGTTTACGATAACTTTCATACCACTTTTTCGATTTTATAGAAGATCGTTTTCAATACATTCTTGTCAATAAATTTTGAAAGTGGATTTTTCTGCTTCTGTATTTTGTAAAAATATTTCAACCAGTGGGAGGTCCAGGTCAGCATTGAAATACTTAAATAACTTCAGGTTATCTCCGCCAGAAAAGAAGTCAGTACAACGGGTTGTCGTCAAGTTGTCGAGGTCTAGAGTTATCCTAAAAAGGCTCATACATTGCCTAGAAAGTATGCAATTTGATTATATACTATAGCCCGTCACCCCATCAAGTTACAAGTTGAAAGATATCACTTCATATCTCAATAATCTTCAGAAATTATAAAAAAAAAATACATATATATATATATGGAAGTCGGTATCATGCACATCGCCCAATGTAATAACACCACTTAATCTCTTGATCAATTATCACCGATTTTCTATCAAACAGAAACACCTGGATCTGCCTGTAGCAAGACATTTCAACATGCCAAGTCATGACATGACATACAGGTGGTACCCATTGACCACTGCTGAAGATGGGGTGACCAGCAACGCCTCAGTACGGAACGACACTGGATCAACCATCTCCAAACCTGCTACCCACTCGGTATGAACGAGAGATGATCTTGCTACTACCGGTCCGGTCATACATAGCTGACAGCCGGTACATCTCAAGCTACCACTGTGACATAGTATAGTATCCCCTACCTATCCGCCCCCGTTAGAAAATAGGAAGCAGACAAAAAAGGGGGAAATGTTTCTCAAATAAACGTATTTGCTCTATTTATTGCACTTTTCATTTAGTCACTATATCTGCTTTCCTTCTCATTGGAGATTGGCGCCGTTTATTAACTCTAGTCCGGAAGTAGAAATTTTCAATTTTATGAGGCGACTTTTCTAGGGCGAGTTGAATATTCTGGGGACTAATTGACCATATTCAAAATAACATTATATGTAGATATTGCGCATTAAAATTAACAAATTATTTTTTATTGTAATTACACATACATTTAAGATTTTACGATAAAGTTTCCTATCTTTGATCAAACAATTCCTCCTTTAGAATGTGGCCGAGATGTACCGGTAGACTAGTTTCCTTGGAAGGTAACGCGCAATTGTTTTCGTTGCAGTCACATACACGCTCAGTGTCTAGAGTGCAAAGCATATCAAAATCTATATAAAACATTTTTGATATCTTAATCACCAGATTACATACAACAACTTGGGATGGGTTTTTTTTCCGTTATAAAGGGCCTTCGGCGTCCATCGGCCGAAGGGATTATCGAGACACCTAAATTTACATAACCGCTCTCGATTTAGATTTATAACTTTGTATTTGTTTTTTGTTCTATGTATGTGGTGTAATTAATGTAATATTTGTGTCTTGATAATGTGACAGATCGCCTCGAAAATTAGCTGTTTAATATATTGTTTGACTCTCCTGTATCTGACTCTAAATTTGTATTAAAAGGTGTCTTTCGTACAATTTTCATGATTGCGGCAAATACCAGTATCAAATCGTGTCTTGGATGTTTAATTCTTATCATAGAAGTCTGTTAAGTTCAATTATTTAAAAAAAGTTAATACTTTACTATCCTGCAAGTTCCATGCAAAATATCAAGAGTTTTTTCCATCACCAATACAGTTCAAAATCCTGCAACTGTTGATATAGCAGTTAACAAGTAATAAGAAACGACAAGATGACATTTTATTTTTGTTCAATTTAATAATTTAAACAATCCGCAGCATCAAAAATTATAAAGAACTTCATAATCAACTAACAGGTCTTAACATGCCCAGATCAGCACAAGTGTTTGATGCTTACCTGAAATATACATTTGGATTCTGTCATTATCAAACACAGGTGATGAGGTAGAAAGCTTTATGACTCAGTTCATCATATATAAGGCAAATTCTGCATATTACATATATACTTGTGCATTATATATAAATATATAAGATGATAAGTACTGCACTATTGATGTAAAATGAAATCAACACACCTACAACAAACAACAGAAATACTTAACATGATGCTTCTAAAACAACTAACATTTAACCTGCTTAATTTTCAAGCTTGCTTGATACTAAGTTTTTATTCTAAAACTTTACAGTACAACACAAAGAAAAATCGATTCTAAACTAAATCAGAAAATGCTCTGTTTCTGAAAGTCTTGGTGTAAAAAATAGCATACAAATGTCAAAATCAACAGCACCTAGTATCTAACACTACGATTAAAATTAGGACTTGGAGGGCGAGTATAAGATAAAGATCAATAGCAAAAATATTTATAGCCAAGGGTACCTGATATGTGATGTTAAAAATTGTCCAATCTAACTGTGAAGCTAAAGTGTATTACAAATAAATAGATATTTTTACAAAATTAACTGTTAAAATATATTCAATTATCATTTCAGACTTGAACTTGAATTACACACACAAACATAAAATGTGTCATTTACATACAAGTTTGCTTTTCAGATAAAATCAATATCATAAAAAGTGATTTTACTTTAGAAATTCAAATACAGAGAACATTCACTGATATTTAAAAACCCCGTATCACATACATAAATCTGAACGGAGGACTCACGACTATGTAAAACAGACCTAAAAACTAAAACAAGTATAATAGTTGCATCCCATTTTAAAACTGTTTTACATGTGTATATATAAGTAAAATTAATCGTATCCTGCAATGTCATAAAATTCAAATTTAAAATATACTGGTAATGTCTGCACTAAAATATTTAACAATAACAAAACAAAAATAACTTAACAACATCAACACTTTCTTTTCAAAAGGCCTTGCTTAAGAAACATTCACATAAACATGATTTGCTAAAAATATACGATTTTAGCTTATGGTTTCAATATTTCTGCCATTTCACAATGGGTGAGTATTTCAAGCATACATATAATACTTCAATACAAAAATAAATACTTTTTATATACATTTAGCACAGTCCTTGTCATTGACAATCACTCTTTATACCAAGTTCAACTTATTATCAGGAGTCACACACCTTCATCTGGAACTCTGTTCGATGCTGCATTGGTTTGCTTTTCGTTCTCATGTGGCACTAGAACGATTTCCTGTCGAATGTGTTCATCCACCTCCTGTTCAAGGTTTGCATTGCGTTCAACAAAATTATCCCATGAATCATTGTTGGTGTCGGCCATCTTTGAGGTATTGTGGGAGGTTTGAATTGTGTCAATAGTACTTGGAATGTTTAGGTCAACATTATCAATGTTGTAAATCTCTTGGAAGTTATAGGTGTTGGAATTGTTTTCATCCCTGTAGTAGTAAGCTATGGTTGACTCCATTTCATTGGATATGTGAAGGCACTGTTCAAATGTATCAAAGATGAGCTGACAAGGTACCTGGGAAGACTGTAGCTGCTGTAGATCTGTACTAATTGACACATTCTGGCCATTCCCTTGGGACTGAAGTTCTATTCCATTCAAATCCATGTGCTCCATTCGGCCCTCGAGGTCTTGTATAGAATGAATGGAATTTGGACGGTCAGTTTCAAAATCGACAGCAAATCCAATGTTGAGGTTGCGGATAATTGGTTCTTCAGGGACTGGTAAGAAAGGATCATTGGATGCAAGAGCTCTCTCAATGTCACCTCCACTAGGGTAATTCACCTCTGTTATGGCCAGCTGACACGTGAATCTGTTAAACAATAAACAAACTACATAAATACTGAACTGTATGATCTTGAATTTCATAACTGTAAATTCATTCAAGGTTTAGCTGTAAAACTAGAGATATAAAGCTGAGATCAACACTTTATAACAGACATTATTTCCACGTTAAAACCACTCGTTACAGAGCAGATGTCAATGCAAGGTTGTATAGGGTCAGAAACAATATAAGCCTTTGTTTTCCCCTTATAAAAGTACTAAGGCATTGTCGTAAGACTCTTTCTCTTCATATCAGAGCCTGTGTTAAACCCTTTTACCATACTAAAAATGACAACCACCAACTGGTGAAGCTTTCTTCTTCCATTTACTGGTATAAATTTGAGTTTGAAAAGGTAAAATGTCTCTGTATTAATTCAGAGTGAAAAATAGACACAAGACATCCATGACAGTGGTATTGACATAGCTGTATGTAGTGTGGATGGCAATTCTACTAAACAAAGGTCATGTCTATATTAAAAGGTGACTGTCACCCTTACCTAGCTGTGTACTTTCTGCTGTGTCTAGATAGGTGGGATAACAAAGCATTCAGGAGTTCTCTCCCTTCTGCATACAAAGTACGTACATCATGAGGCAGGGAAGGTAAGTATCGAAGTGCTCTGAAGTACAAAAGTAAAGCGGTAAATTTAAGATTCCATTGAGTTCCGACAAATATGTACCTTACTTTATTATCAACTACAAGCAAGATGTAATAAAGGAATTGGTTAGTTTTTCATTTAATCTTTATCTCCTGTATAACATACTAAGGACATATTACTGTCCTTGCCAAACAAAATAATTACAATGACCCCACTTACTCATATAAAACATAATAAACAACAGACCCATAGGGCCTGTATTGCTTACACTGCCTTTGGACCAGGTGAACTAAAAATTGACTGAAAGAACTTTTCAGCTACAATTCAATCATTATAGTTGATTTTCACATCAATAAGACAATTTTTTTTTATTAATTTCATATTTCTCACAATGCATTTGGTATATGTTTATTTACCTAAGTGTGTAGGTATAAAAGATGTCAGCAGGCAGTAACCAGGGTGTACCCATAGCCAAAAGGAGACGAAAGGCTCGGTTCTGTCTTACACAACTGATCATACCTGTGTTCATGGAATCAGATGTGGCCTGAAAAGCTGAAATACAAATATCTCATATATACATGTGTTCTCAGATCACTAAATGAATCATGTAAAATATTTCCTTGGTAACAAGATTCTGTGAATGTTGTTACATCCATATGAATTTAGCAATCTGGGCCAGGTGAGCTTAAAGTAAAATAAAAATGAAATAACTTTAAATTGTCGGTGTATAAGGAAAAATATTTGAATTCAATTTCAAGTATCACTGTTTATTGAAAACTTACTAAATCATCATAAATGGTTGCTAACTACCATATATATCACATATATGATGTTCTTTCTGTGATACTGATCTAGTATAATTATGACACCTGAACAATGGTGTAAAGAGAATTATGACCAGCCTTGGGTCACAACTGTCCAGGTAACTTGTTCCTACCTTGCTTCCTCTTTGGAAACCAAAGGGGTCAAGTCCCTTATACAACTGCTACCATATTTACTGACAAAACACATGAAGTAGCCTAAAGCTATTTCAAATCAATACTGTGTCTATGTATACAGCCTGCTATAGTAACTACAATTTCTACCTGCCATCTCCTGAATTAAACAAATTCCTGTCCATCATCAACTTTATCTATTGTAAGATAAGGCTTTTCTACCCAATTTCATTACCTTTTCAACTTCCTGGTAGGGAGGAATGATTGTTTTTGTTTAGTTTTTGCATTCCAAATATCTCATTACAATTTTTTTTGTATATCTATTGTTGTTTGCCCATGATTGACATTTGGCAGTGTGTCATACCTTCAACTACTGAGGGAGGCAGTGTGTCTATCAGTGCAACCTGGACCTTCCTTTTACAGTCAGCACATCCTTCATCCTCCTCATGGTTCCCCTCACACACACCATCTATATCATCTTCAGAGGTTTCTTCTCCTGAAGAAGATTTATCTTCATCTTCCAATAGGTCTTCTGATGTGGATTCTAACATGCCCTTAGATACCGAAATGATTTCAGATCGAACACTTAGATGTCGTGTACATGATATCAGATCTAGGAAGAGAAAACAGAACAGTTCTGAAAACATCACTTGGTATCACACTGGCTGATGTAAGTATATCACACTGTACATGATGTCAAAGTGATATTTTGAATCTTGATTTGATTTACTTTGTGTGAAGCATCAAAGTTCCCACATTTATAGCAAGAGACGCCCGTGTTATATTGAATTCCCTGATATATTTTATTATCCATCTTTTATGAATTTAGTCCACCAGTATCTGAGCATCCTATCTACTTATCTTAACACCAGGAAGTTTTACAATCATCACAACACTTAGGGATTTTGGCTATAATTTCTATCTTTGTAAAATTTCACAGAAAACTTCTCAGAAATTCATCAAAACAGCTATACCAAGGTCAATGAAACACTATTTATACATGTTAGATGTCCCAATAGCTGTCTGTAGGCAGCCAAAAGTACCAGTATATGTTACAGATGGGTGAGAAATTTAATGTGGTGATTGTTCATGTGGCACATGTGACATCGTAAACAGCAGACAAGTACACATGTACCTAATCATTTGATCCTACTTTTTTAAATACCTGTCATTGTGTCAGTGATTTATTTTACATTTATGGTACTTAACAATAGATATCATGAATGATTGATCCTACTTTTTTAAATACCTGTCATTGTGTCAGTGATTTATTTTACATTTATGGTACTTAACAATAGATATCATGAATGACTGTTTTGAGGCAGTTTTGCACGGAGGTATATGGTGTACAAGAGAGAAATAAATTCACTGGACTTTGGGGCTGTAGTATAATCTTACCAACACCAACGTAGAGTAACGTAGTGTGATGAGATGGCGACAATACCATAGTGAAAACAATGCAAATTAATCACCTTGCCCTTCCATACCTATATCAGGTTGCAACAATATACTTTCTTAAGAAAGTTGATTCAGCTAGCTAGACTATATCTAAACCTGGTTACAGATGTGTGAGAGTATATGGGCTATCTTGACCCTGTTCAGTACCTTCCTGCAGCACAAAAGCATTATGTAACCAATACACTATAAAGGTTTGACTAAAATACAATTTTGAACATATTTAATGAAAATATTCTTGGTATGTTTAAGTGTCCTTTGTTAAAGAAGGCAGGGTGTTCTGTGTGTCTCAAGAGATAGGTACAAATTACCTACATATCATATTCCATCATTTTAGACTAAAATACCAACTTATGAAAAATTGTTTCCAAAACTAAAATTTCTAATGAGAAGTGATGATAACATTATAGAATATGTACTCATTATACACACTTACTGTTTCTCTGTAAGAACTTGAGACAATCATCAAAACCCTCCTGGCACATATCACTGAGAATTTCGGGATGGGGTGGAAACAGAGCCCGACTCATGCGATATAGATTGTCACCCGAACATTGGAAGCTAGTGTTAGCCAGTGTGATGTGCATCAGATTGGCGGAGGCATCTCGAGGACATATGTCACTTTCGCCACAAAATGGTGAAACTGTGATAGTCTCATTGTTTAGCTGAGGGATGTTGTCACTCAATCCACCATCAACATACCTCTGCAAAGATAGAAAACTGTCATCATATGGTGAATGGGCAATGAGGTTTTTACATAGAAATCACATAAAAAACAGATCAAACATAAATAAAAAATACTTTGAAATTCAAAGATCAATTGTATTTGTATCAAAGATCTGTTTTGTATCAAATATATGTCCATCTTTTGTCATATAAAACTATGTTGTCTGCATTAGGATAGGGCTACAAGTACAAAATACATGTACTTAATTTTTTTTGTTTATTCTAATTTGTTGTTTTATTTAGAGGGGTGGGGGGTTTAAACTTAACACTGAGAAGAAATTCTTGACAATTGCAATCCTGGAATTCAGTCAATAAGTATATTTACCACACCACGGAATGAAGGTGGCACCAAACCGGAGTACAGTGGGACAAAAGCACTGGTCAGCAGAGCCTGAAACACACATAATCAATATGTAATGAGATGTTTCGACAAGAAAATTCTGCTTTGATCAATACATTTCTTTTGTTTAATAATACACCTCATGATGTGTATATGCCATTAAATTGTACAAATAAAATTATCAATTAATTACAAATATAAAACATGTTATTGTCATCTATCTAATATCTCATTTGTGTTGAATTTGAATCGGATTATACCACTTTTAATGAGTAAAACTAGTATTAGTAACGAGAAAAAAAAATCCAGCACAGTATGTTGTTATTGAATGAGCTGTACACCAATAGTTAACATACGCCCCTTGATCACGTATTTACTGTATATATTATACAGATCATATCATTTGCCATTAATTGAGAGTCAATTAGCATAGATTAATGATATCATTACATATATTTACACCTATTTAGCATTGATTACGCATACATGGTTTTGTACATATGTAAATAGTTGATGGGGCATGATCAGGACTGGCAACAGGATCAATTATATGAGACATGATGCCTCTGAATTCAAAGACCACCTGCGCTGAATATATATATACCAGGTATATATACATATATACATCCATTGGCACACTTTTCATCTTTAATTAGTTAACTTTTTTGCTTTAAGTATGAGCTTCTTTTTTCATCATTTATTTGAAAAAAAATATATACATGTATATATATATAAGTAAATTAATTTGTAAATAACCTGAACATTTACCAATACATGAACAAGATTATGAAACAAAGATCTGATTAATTTTCAATTTGATACAAACCTGAATTAGTTCATCTTTGGACTCAAACTCTGACACAATCACAGCCTTTCTGTCAGAAACACGAGTTATGGAGATATGTAATCGTCCAGATGTAATCTTATGGGCATTTTCTGGTAGCACTTCATAAAGAGCATCTCTTAAAATACGGTTGATATCAAAACTTGGGTGCAGAGGTCCTAAGGAGTGATGCCTGGCCTTGCTGGCTAGTCTTAGAGTAAAACTTGTACATTCACCTATAAAAGTAATAAGGAAAAATGAATTCTAAACATGTATGTAATCATATACATGCATAACCAAATTATAGATGAAAATATCACTATTTGTATATTTAGATATGTAATTCTAGAAAGTCTGCACATGAAAACTATGTATGTTCACAGGGCTCTTGATCTGCCAGATTTGGGGCCGAATGCAAAATAGTATCTTTTTTTCCCAATTTAGACCCCAAGTTTTCCCAATTCTAAGGAAAATGCCGCTATTTTTCCCAATTCTAAAGGCCCGGGTCCCAGTCTCAAAATGGGGTGTGAGAGCCCTGGTTCATCTTTATACTATTTACATGATATACCTATACTCACTCTGGCTATAAATAGCATCAAAGGAGATGTTTTTCATGTGTTTTCCAAGCTCATGAATTTTTGTTATATTTTTTATTACACAGATAATATGACCTAGCAGAGCTGCCTGGCTGCTGGTTCCCATTGTTTACACTGTGAAATCATGACTTATAATGGTGATAACTGTCAAATATTTTGTGACATCATATGAAAGAATTTTAGGCTAAGTTATATGATCTTGAAATAAACAGAATGTTATGTTTGTTTCTATGTCATATGAGATAAAAGTAAAATTTGTGCACGTTTCATTATACCTTGCTACTTTACTTCTTTAAGTTTCATAAAGACCACATGAATGGAAACTCATAGATCCTCTATTCATATCCAAGACTTATTATATCACGTCTTTTAAAATTAGAACAAATACTGTATTTGACTTAATAAGCACAGTGTTCCCAAAAAAACAAAAGGGTGTGCTTAATTAAATCATGCACAGGGAAAACATAACCTTTATGTGGCTATAAAGAACTGAAAATTGTATGGGCAGATCATGAAGAATAAAGATGGGGATGCGCTTATAGGGGTAAGTGCGCTCAATAAGTCAAATATGGTAATTTAGAGTTAAGAAAAATATCCTAAAATTCATAAACAATTTGGTTAATTGCTGAATTGTATAATTCAAAGAAATTCAATTACTAATGAGTAATGACAAATTCATCATAACCTATCATATTTTTAGAATGCATTTGCTTTGTTTAATTCTATATAATCATTGTGTCATGGTCTTGTTTTTGATCACCTACAAATGTTTGCACACTAAATAACAGTCTACCTAACTAGGTTCTACCCTTGGACAGGTGTTAATAGTGTCCTGTTACAAAGGACAGCATTCTGGTGACAGCCTACATGTCTACTAAACACAACAGGAGCTCCTACTGTTAACTATAAGGAGGGTCTGGGTCGATAATTAAGAGGTTTCTAGAGTAAGGTTCAAATAAAGTTCAATGACAATGACTGTTATGTAAAAGTATTTACAGTGTGTATATATGTACAATTGTGTGTACTATGAATACGGGTCCTGTATTAAAAACAAAATCACAGATTGCCAGAACCCTTCAGACTAGTTTTCACTAGAGGGATTTTCCTGTAGATCATTCTCATGTTCATGTACAGATACACTACTCCCTCTATATTACACTAGTCAACCATTCAAATTGATAGGATTAACAGCAATCAGTTACATATTCCAACAAATTGTTTATCGAACCATGGCTTGTCTATTGTCACTAAGCAATTGTGTATATTTCAGAGAATACATGCAAGTTATAATGTACAACTTGAATTCCAAGCTGATTCAGATTGAGAAGAGCTACCTTTTGAGATTAGTTGCTAAATATTGTGTAATATCACTGTTGTTTGTGCTTAGTAATGCACCATTATCTCTCTGAATCTATCTATATATATATCATATTACGCACATAACAAATGGACTTTGATTTCAAGAGGTCATTTGCATGTCAGGTCACTCCAGATGAAGAGTGTACAATAAATAGAACACAAATTATAAAGTGACACATTGGACATATATTTTGACCCTAACCAACATTTAAGTCCTTGATAATGTACAGCCAAGCCACGTTGAAACGCCTCAGGTACTATAATGTTAGAGTGGCCACACTGACCATGGTAACACCAATAGGTCAAGTGCCAAGTTTACATAACATGCAATTTTGGAACTGACTATAACACACTGACCTACTTCCTCACAGCAAGTCTATAGACCACGTCATCTTTAATATGAATGTCGCGATTTTGATTGATATATATATTATACATACCTAGGCAACAATCACACATCAAACAACAGGCTACAATTGCCCCAGCACTAGCTCCTCCAAACTTCACGCTGTCCACCAAATGCGGGACATGCTGTTTTAAACAGCTCGCGACTCCAACATGGTAGATACCTAAAAATCCACATCCAGCAAAGGAAAAATTCATCCTTTTATCCACCAGACCTTTTCACACAACTACTCCATGGGTGATATAACGTTTGTATTATTATATTGTTAAGTCTTTAAATTCAGTTAACAAATTGATCAACAATATGACAGCAATCAACTTGGGACGTACGTTTGCTTACGAGGTGTCCATCTTGGTTTGTTTGCCCACGTGACTCGTGATTTTATGACGTAGCAGGCATACCCCTACAACTAACAACTTGATTGGTTCAATGATGTGTGGAACGATCTTTGACGTGACACACCCTCAAAATTTAAATACAAAGCTTAATCTACTTTCGTTTTTATCACTGACGCAAAGTATTAATGAAAATCTGAGGACTTAATAAAGATTAACAAAACAGAATCATTCTAAATTATATCTACTTTTTCTTCTGTATCTTACTTAAACATTAGTGTAATAGGAATATTAAAGAATAATAGTTCAATTTATCAACGGACTTAGCGTTAGATATACTGACAGAGGAGGCTAGTACATGTACACCGTACTCGTTGAATTATGGTTAACCTGAATAGCATATGTAGGAGAAGATCTTTCAACAGAATCAGACATGCTGTACAGATAAGTTATACACCTGCATGAGCTAAATTCACATTGGAAGGTGCGTGTGCTAGTAAAAATGGACTGGTTGGTTATCTTAATCTAAAAAAAAAAACAAAACCAATCATTATCGAAGGTCGTTAGCAGTATTAATTTATAGTTCATTGGTATTGATATTTAATTACACATTTTCCCACTTCCTCAGTATTGCACAATATTGTTAGAAGGTTACATGTAGGGTCAATCTTCGAGTCTATACGAAACACCTTGTTCAACTAGAATTTACTTGCACACGCCCTTATCTATACAGTTTGGAAATGTATTTAGACCAAAGCGGGAAAGAGTGCATGCCAAGCAATATATTATTTCCTTTTCAAATATATTTGAATATTTTAGAATGAGAATTTTTTTTTGAAAATCACCAAACAGGTACAAATTACTCGGAGGTGCAAATAACTTGTCATAAACACCCGACATATTTACATTTGTATGCTTGATTTTTCAAACATCCGTGTTCCAGATTTTTGTATTTAGTTTACGTATATTGAGCTGCGTCAGTTGGATGAAGGACTGCTCTGAGAGAGAGAGAGAGAGAGAGAGAGAGAGAGAGAGAGAGAGAGAGAGAGAGAGAGAGAGAGAGAGAGAGTTGGAGTTGCCATTGCAGTAATATCATGTACGGTACTCTCGATGACATTGTTCAAGAGGTGTTGCTTATTTTTATTGGATTGACGGCTGATGTTTAATACCCCGAGTGGAACTGGGTTTTGTTTTAAGTATATTTATTTCTGTTAACCATCACTGGTGTGGATTAGTACAGGTTATAAACTACCATCGCCGGGCATTGTCCAATCGACATGGTCGATTCTCTGGCGACGTGAGGGGGTGCTCCCCTCTAAACTACCGATTGCGGTTCATACGAGTTTGGCTATGAGCATTCTGACAACCTGTGGGAAACCATTGGCCACAAGTCCTTTGTGTTTCCATCTGACTTTCGTCACAAGCACCACACATAAACGTTTTAGTGTATTTACTTAAACCGTTTGTTAATTTCAATATCATTACACTGCAGTATCACAAGTAAGAGATAAATATTAGGATTTTTTTTGTTGGTTAAGTCAGAAAAGGTCTAAAGAAAAGGGGAGGTAATCAATAAGTCAGAAAAGGTCTAAAGAAAAGGGGAGGTAATCAATAAGTCAGAAAAGATCAGTTATTGCATGATCATCTCTTTCATAGGTAATCATGATAACATGACCATGAAAGGTCATCTAAAGAAAAGGGGAGGTAATCAACAAATTAGTAATGATTAGGACAATAATACAAATGAAATGGTAAACTTTAATTAAAATATCTTATATATGATTCACAAAATTCCATTTCAAATCCTTGATTTTCAAAGATTTTACACAATTTAGTTATAAAATGTCCTTGTCAAGAGTGTTATTCATTCTCCGTTTTTTCTGTTAAAGTATGTAATCTTTAAGTTAAATTAGTAGCGTTTTAATAAAGATGCTTTTTTATTAATACATCATTACACTACCTATGATATATAATTAACAATATATGTTAATTAAATCACCAAGGTGCCTAATTGTTAAATAAAACAATCGCACGAACTCGCACTACAGGCTTTGTTTATGAGGACCTTACATTAAAATGGAGTATATCAGAGAGAGAAGAGAGAGAGAGAGAGAGGGGGGGGGGGGGGGGTTGTTGCCATTTTAAATATATGAAAAATTAAGAAATAGACTATAAAAGTTTGTCTGACAAAATGCTTTTTAGTCATCGAAAAATTAAATCAAATGAACAAGACAAAACTAAATTTCTCAATCCATGTTAATTAAACGTATCTGCCTTTACTCATTACAATACATGTCATAGTTCACAAGCGGGGCCGAAACACCTGCACAAGATATGAACCATAGTGATATTCGCTGTGACCTATACGATAACGGCGGTGATATATTACGAACTTGTTCACGTTTTTATACATGTGGATCATCGACCTGGATGTATATATATATAATGACAGTCCTGGTTTAGGGCCCCGCAACAGAAGTAGGTGTTCTGTAGAAATAACGCTGTTTGATTACAACGTGATTGGATTTGACACCATTTCACGGAGCGCAGTAGATAAACAACTTTACGAAGGAACCAGGGACGTACAATATCTATGTTATATATATATTGTACGTCCGTGGAAGTAACGTTACTCTTTATCTGTCGTGTTTCTTTTTATCTTATATTGTCTAATACTGACCTTACACTTGTTGTTTAAAATCAAATAAATGAAATGAAATAAATCTGAATTTGAAGTTTTTTGATGACATGTTAAGGATAAACTTGAATCGACAGTTCGTTTTTTATCACACGAATTCTTGAAATAAGTTGATAGCAATATCACCCCTTTCAGAGCAGAGAAACGGACCGGTCAGTATAAGCACGGTTATGTCCTTGGGAAAGACCCTTTTCCTAATTGCTCTGGAAGATATAAATGGGCCTCCCGTATGTTGTTCAGTGAGGTTCCCGCTAAAAACTACATTTAGTGAGTCCAAGCCTCAATATTCGTACAAACAAATCCAACAATACGCTATTAGCTTCTTTACTTCATTACTATTCCCAACTATATGTATCTTTATATATACGTCATAAAGTCTAAACTAGTATATAATATGATGGAGGGAGAACGCTCTAGTTGTTGTGTCTCACCAGGGCAAGTTTGAATGATATTGTCTTGGTGTTTGAGACAGTACTGTCTTTTTGATGGTTAAGGTCAATGGCAGTGCGAAAAAAACTGTACTATCCTATGACTTGAAGCTGGGCGTATTTGATGCTCGTTAGTTTGCCTGTTGGTTCTGTTGTTGTATAACTTGTTCTCATCTAGAAGGTGACATAACTTACTTGGATTGATCAAGATTTTACATGGCACATATTTAGATGAAAAGCCATTTTCTAGTCAGCATTCCGTTGAGCTAAAAGGTCTGGTTCCTTCTTTAACCCTGCGACATCACTGAATATTACTATTAGATGTTACCACCGGACTGGCGATAGTGTCATCCGCGAATTGGCGAACTGTAGTACCCAGACCTACTGACATACCATTGATATAATACAAGAACCATGTTGGGCCGATTACCGAACATTGTAGGACCCCAGTCAAGACATTCGCATACTCTGACCATACCGTCTCAAAAAGAACAGTCCGTTTCCTTTCTGATAGATCTTCAATCCAAGTGGTAACCGACTGATTCATACCATAGTGTCTCAGCTTATGAATAAAGAGCGAAGACTTAACTTTATTTATAAAAAGTTCGTGATGAGTAGGTCTGCGTGCCATTTTCTATGTTGTTGATTACGAGAGTCGTGCTGTAGGGGATATAACATAGCATTGGCGTCGGCATGTGTTATATACATTTAGTTAATGAAATAGTGCGATAATTTTCAAGTATAAATGTATTACCTTTTTTCTTAAAAGGACAAGACATAGGCTAATTTATAGTCAGATGGCACATTTTCCTCAGTAAGAGATCGCTGATAAATAACAGTGAGGATAGATGTTATTTCATCGGCCAATTTTTTTAGGATCTTCTCTTTTAAGTTGTCAGGATCAGCTGCCTTTGTGGGGCTTAGAGTCTTCAGAAGTTTGACATTATCTTGGACTATTATGGTAAAGTCAGGCATGACAGAATATTGGAGTCTAAAGGAGATTTTTCATCTTTTTTTTTCACTCTGAGAGGGAGTGATGTAGAGAAAACAGACTGGATTGGCTATTAAATACCAGGGCCTTGCTGAACAGGTCAGGTACAAGTTTCCCATTTTGTTAAAGAGAAGATGTGTCATGAAAACCAGGTTTCTTGTGTTTTATATAATTCTGATCTCACTATGATCAGAACTTACATCTTACTGTTATTTTCCACACTTCTCTCTAACTCCAGAACATATTTTCCCTGCTATCCAATAATTTGTTCCTTCTCTTAGACTGGTGCTAGAACTATCCAATTAAAGAGGATTTTATATTTTCAAATTTTCCTGATCCATCAGAACATTTTGTATAATCACGCTATCCATATTATAGCTTGCTGATTTTTAACTCAAAACCACAAATCACCTTCACATGAAATCCTTGTGCATATTGTAATAGATAATGACATACTGTTATCAACACTGAGTCAATAGATCACTGACACAGGTACAGGGAATTAATCAGAATATAACGGGAGATTTCGGTATGGGGCTGCAACGGTTTTTTTAAATACCTCTTTCTGCTTGTTCGAATGGGAAGTATACAGAAAGTCAGGATTGCATGACTTCTCGTCACGTGAGATTTAGTAAGTAATTCAGTAATTGATTAAGTGGTAAGTGTACCTACCAGTTTTAAAAACAATCGTCCCTCACACCCTCACACTATACTGTACACACCCTCTTTTTGCATGTGATGGTCAGCTCCCAATCTAGGTAAACTAATCTTTTTGCATATATCTGTTGGAAATGATGTGCTTTAGCACTGACAGCGATTGTTAGCCATTCCCAAGGCTACGTATCAACTAGATGGTATTCTGGTCCTTAATATGTGTCTGTAATCTAGTAGTTGTACT